TTTCTTTTTTCTTATATAAAATTAAATGTGAAAGTCTTTTGGTGCTTTCCATTGTTTCTTTACACGTGAAAGTGACATTGACCATATATCATCACATAACAATTTTACTTTATCCTTATAAAATCAAATGTGCCTCCCCTGTTTCATTTATTCTTTTACCTGTACATATAAAAATTTATTGCCCATGCTCTCAATAAATTCCAGATACATATTAGACACCTAACACATAAATTTAAGATCTACCTAAGGTGAATGATCATTTGCACTCCATTTGAAAATTATTTAAACTCTGCATTTTGTATTTGCAAGCAAAGAAATACAAATTACTATTTTCAAGAAGCAAATTGAAGTTTTTCAAGGAGTTTAAATTGTGTTCTCTGTTTACCCATCTCTCACATGGTCGCATTCTTATCATAAAAAATAAAAATATATATAAATTATTATTTTTTAAATACCGCATGGTCACATTCTATATTTATAGGTGTTTTCCTTTGGTAAAGACTGTTGTGAGCATGCATTTCCATTCCTTTATTAAACAATGCCTTTGTAGGAGGTTGTTGGTGTTCATGGTAAGAGGATGTTCCTTGTTAGAGTCAACTCCGCCTTTTCTAGCTAGTTGGGTCTTTTAGTAAGTTAGGCTTGTCCAAAAGAAATGTGTAATAGCTGAAGTTAGTGTTATTGCTACATGTTGGAGAATATTATTATAGGAACCTTAAATTACTCCACAAAATATTGCTCTGAGAATATTGTGGGAGTGATTTTAGTCTATGATGCATCAGGCCCCTAAACAGGAAGGGAACCGTATGGCTCTTATGAAAGTAGACATTCTTGCAGTATCTAGTGGGTCTGCACAGATTGGTATTTTCACAGATCGATTGTAAGGTTAGACATTCTTCTCGGTATGATGTAGCATTATAGCATAAATTTCCATAATTTCTTTGTCTTGAAAGTAGTAAGTCGCAATTATTTCTGGTTTGTTTTAGCTTAAGTAATTATAGTTCTCAGTGTGGACTTTGATAGTTATAACTTAAGTGTTGATCAATTAATGAAGTTAAATTAGTTTTTCTAATCTTTTGGTAATGAGATAACTGCTTAAACTGAATATGTCCTCCAAATTGTTTTGTGTTTGTTAATTGGCAAAAATAATTGTAGAAGTATGGTGCATGCATTTGGACTTCAAGTTGGAGTCATGTTGTGATCTTGATTGAAAAATTTAGTGCTATCAACAATGAAATCTAAGAAGATTTACCATAATAATAGGAATAATTGGTATATCCTACACCAGCTCACAATGGAACAAGCTATAAAAGTTAGCTCTGCCCTTAAGTAAATATATAATAGTGATAATAATAACATTAAAATATCTGTGGTGCTTCTAGTTTCACGGTAATCTTCTAGACTCAAGCTTGTGGTAATAAAATGTGTTACGTCTTCCTAAACTAACTTGTATCGTAATGCCAACAAAGATATGTGGTAAGATGATTGATTGTTCATAAAGAGAACCTATGATTGATTTGCTGCCTCTGCATCAGAGAACATGGATGCACAAACCTGTACGATTGATGGAAGCATCACTTGTCTTTAACACAATAGTTATCCAACTATGAGACTGGCATACCTGAAAGTGGACCTTTCATATCTATTCGGGACCCTTCAGCGGCTCTGGCTTCTAGAGTTCGGGCATAGAAGGCATAAAACTGTAGGACTTGTATGAAGTGTAAAACTGTACGACTTGTATGCATGTCTTTGGAGATGGACTTCGAAGGCATCTTGGTAGCGGTTAAGGGTTATACAACTGGCATTTATGTTATGACTAGCAAAATGAGTGATTGAGAATCCTTATCATTAAATGAATGTTTTACCTTTTTTTTACGAATAGCAAACACTTGTTGGATTTATGACTTGGGCAGGAATTATTATTATTATTTTGATTAGTGACTTGGGCAGGAATTATGCTGCAATATTTGCTTCCCGTGCTAACTGCTACCGCATATTTCACAGTCTATGTAAGATTTATAGTTACTGCAGACGCTGACCACTATAGAAGATTGATTGCCATTCCCTTTCATCTTTAAAACCCTCTTTAGTTTGTTATGTTACTTTCGTGGATGAAAGATGATGAATTTTAGGGATTTAGAGTATTACCACAAATCTGCTGGTAGTTGTTTGTATTAGAGGTACCTATTATAAATTCACAATACATTGAGGTATTGTCTAATAATTGAGTCAACTTGCCCGAGAGCTTACTTTTTTCAACCTTTTTAGAGCTCATAAATTTCAATATGGATCTTGATATAATTTAACTAACAGAGTTATACGAAGTGAGAGATGTATAGCAGTAGTGGTTGGTACAAATCATTTTTTCCAGGTTTTTCATATCCAAGCATTTGAGTATATGAAGTGTTATTGGCCTGGGAAAATTAACTTAAGCCTACTGAAACCTTGCCCTCTGATTGTAAGGAGAAAAGACTTGGATAAAAAAAAAAAAATTCCATCTAGTTTTTCTTACAAACAAAAGGACTCTTCCCTTATTTCCTCCTTTTATTGGTGTTCATCTCTCTTTTCTCTTATCAAACAAGCAAAGAGAAAAGAAGTGTAAATCTTTTAACTATCTCCACTTTCTTTTACATGATAAAAATTTCTCTTACCTTCCTTTTCAAATTATTTTTCCTTCTCTCTCCTCTCCTCTCCTCTCCCCTCCCGTCAAAGTGCACTATGTTAATAAAAAAACAAAGAAGCGAGAATTTTTTAAAATCTGTCTACTTCCCCTTCTAATTAAACAGATGAAAGTAAATACAATGTATCTTCCCTTCTCTTCTTTATTTTATCTCTTCTTTGTTTCCTTCTATTCTCCTCTCCAACCAAGCACTTGAACAGGAGTTCATTCAGAACAAAATTTGGGATACCATGGGCCTTACAGAATTCCAACATCCAAGGATTTATAGGACCAAATTTGCCCATTGATGTGAATGATGATACACTATCAAATTGGGTTCAAGTGGGGTAAATTGATGGCAATAATCTAGAATTACAAAATCACTACAGACATGGATCTTTAACTTTGATAAATTGAACCTGAAACAAGGTTTCCAAAAGCCTACTTCAGAACAAAACTAGAATTTGGGAAAGATGAACAACATTTAATGAGTTTACTCATATTATTCAAAACGCTTTGTTGCAACTAATGATGAACAAAAATTGATGATGTTTGCTTGCCAGCTTTGTGTTTTAAGTATTCAGATTCTACTCATTTTCAATGGACTATTAAGCTGCTGCTCATTTGGCACCGCTACACGTGCAGCGTGTTAGAAGTCTCTGTGGAAACAGTTTTTCTATATAGTTATGGTATAGTTGGCCATTTATACCTTATCAATAGGGTGTTTCTTTAGGCTTGTTAATGAACTGTGTTCAACTCTTAATGCGTTAGCAACTGATTAATGTATCTGATTTGATGATGATCAAAATTTGTGTGGAAATGTCAGTATATGATCTTGGAATATAAGGAAACAAAAAAATCATTGTGTTAAATACTTGCTTTAGGACTAGCCTACAGTATGTCATCTTTTTTGTTTGAATCATGTTCTTTGGTAGGCTTGGTAGCATGTCATCAATTAAATTGAGGTGTAAAGTTTGTAGTCAAACTAAAAAAGCAGAATATAGAATTTAAGGATTCAGTTTTGTGAAACTATAAAACAATGTATCATATAATTGGTAAACAATTACCACTCCTGGTGCCAAACAAAACGGGTTGGAAATATATATATATTTTTTTATTTCTCAAAAGGAGATTGAAACATGTGTGTTTGGTGGTCCTTATGGAGGGAAAGAAATATGAGATCCTTCGAGGGAGAAGAAACTCCTATTGGTGTGCTTCAGTCTTGACACTTTATTTTTTTGGCTTCCGGAGAGAAATTGTAAATCTGTAGGGGAGCTAGTGGATTTGTGGAAATGTAGTGATTAGGGGCCCTATTTGGTCCTTGTGTAGGTTTTGGGATGCACTGTTGTCTTCTACGCTGTTTATAATTCTTTATTGAAAAAAAAAAAATTTGTCTGATATTTCTAAACATTGTATATATTGATGTATATCATGACATTCTAATAGAAAACTGAAGCGCACATACGATGGAGAACAGAGTAAAAAGAATTGAGAGTATAAAAATACTGGCAGGCATGTATTTGGGGAGGTAGAGAGTTCCAAATTTTATCCATCAAAGGGAGGTCAAGGGTTCGAGCCTCCATGGAGGAATGTGTGTGTGAGTACCAAGTACGGAAAGAAAAACACTTTTATCCATCAATTATTAAATATTTTTAGGTTTCACATAATTGTCAGAGTTCAGATGCTGATATATAATTTACCACCTTGGCCTTTATTCTTGGACCAAATGCAGATTGCTATCAATTTTTTTTAATAAGATTATGAACTAGATAGCACAGAATTTTTGCATTCCTTTTATCTTTGCCCTTTCCGTAGGACATAACTAGTTACTTAACCAAGCAATTAGTTTTTAACTTATTCTATACCACAACCTTAACATATGATCATCTTAAAATTTTAGCATTTCGTATAATCCATCCACATATCATCACATGGAACTAGTTAGGTTTTCATTGTCCTTATGTTATTATATGTTTCTTAATCTCCGGGGGGGGAGGGGAAAAAATACTATATGTTTCTTAGTCTCAACGTTTGGACATGAATACTAGCAATGAACCAAGGTTATGTATTCAGGAAAAAAGAATGAAGGTTATGTAGTTTGACCAATCATTTATGGAAGCAATAACATTTTTGTTTGCATTCCATGTAAGTAGCATTTTGTCTCGCACTTCCTTGTCATTGTTTTAGTTGGACAATCTTATAATGGAGGCTATAAACAACTTGAAGGAGCCTGGTGGTTCCAATAAGACAACTATTGCAACATACATAGAGGTATTTTTATGTTTGTTCAAGTTATTTTGAGATTTCATTGATTCAGTCTATGCTGTCTTTGTGCAATGTGCAGATGATTTGTGTGCGAGATGGAAATTCACAAAATGGGCCATCAGGATAGATGAATTAGACCGATTTCTGATCAGCGTAGAGATAGATATATGTATGTCTTTGCCTGCTTCGTCTGTGGTTGTAAATATTGTGAGGACTTTCTGGCCGGTAAAATTCAGTATGTTCTTGTAGCATCAAATCCCGGTTTGTTAGTAACTTTAAGAACCTCCTGAACTCAGAAACTAGGAAGTACAAAGGAACAATAAAAGTTGGATTTGCGTAGGATGATCATCATATGGTTCTCCATGGCCATGTATTTTTGGAACTTTCGAGACATATTTGTGATGGTACCTTTAGGGTGCCTGTATTTTGAAGTGATGTGTGGTTGATCGAAGTGTTCTTTTTATCCTGTTGTTCAAATGTGCCCTAGTTAGTTTGGTTGCACAGATGGAAATGAGAATCAAAATGAATCTTGTTCTTTTATTGTGCGGCTACTGGATGATCAACATTCTTAATGTTGTGTTCGGTGGGAAGGAAAGAAGATGTGTAGAGAGAAAATAGGAAGGAAATGACGAATTTTCTTTGTTTGTTAAGAGATAATATAAGAAAGAATAGGAAGGATGACTTACCATTTCTTGTTTACAAATTTTTATCCGCCCAAAAGTGGGCAGAAGAAAGGAAGGAAGACAAATGAATTATTATAGAAGTTTTAAATTAAATACTATCTTAATTTATACAAGTTTTAAATTACACTACTATTTTCTTTAAATTATAATATTATAAATATTATTGGACATAATGGTAAAAATAATTAAAATTTTCTTTTTCCTTCTCTATTAACTGATATAATAAATTACGAGCTTATTCTCTTCTCTTCTATCCAACCGAACAAAAAAAAAGGAAATACATATTCTCTTCCCTAGCAATGTTTCATCCATCCTTTCTTCTCTCCCTTTCATTTAATTTTTTTCTTTCCTAAATCATAAGGCTACTTGATTGGAGCTCTAGTACTAGTCTCTCCACACACTTAAGAATTTCTTGCTGAACCTGTGAAAAATAAAATTGTTTGAAAAATTAGTTTTGATGAAGTTGATTTTTTAGACTAAAAACTATTGTAGATTAAAAATGCTACCGTAAAAAAGGTTAACGTTATTGTAATGTTCAGACACCCCAAGGCTCTTTTTATGGTCATTTATTCATTGCTAAATTTAGGTCTGTACTCTAGCTTAATCAGGGCCATTCATTTTGCTTGGGGGGGAGTTATTTTCTTGATGCTGCTTTGATCATGAGCATTGAATGAGTTGACTTTACACACAGTTTTGGACTTGTTATGCCAAACAAAGCCATCATTGTTCTTTCTTTTTCTTTATTACCCAAAACACATGTAAAATACCTAAATATAAGTGAGAAATTACACTATCCTTTCTTTTGTTTTATTTTCTTCCAATGTTATTATCTTTTATTTTTTTCAATTTATTGAAAAAAAATGTTAATATAAATGTGCACAAAAAAAAAAAAAAAAAAAAAAAAAAAAAAAAACCATGCTATTTCGTATGTGCAAATAAATACCTAGCATTTGAAAATATGTTCAAATTACCCCCTAATATTTGTTGACCCTCAATTTTGACCCAATTTTTTATATAAAATTTCAAAAATACCCCTGATAATCTCTCTTATAGTGAAATCAGTGTTTTTATTTTTATTTTGCCTTAAGGGCTATTTAGGTATTTTAGCTTTTAAATTGACAAATTGTCTTTATTTGCTCAATTTTAAAAATTTTAGGGTGTTTTTGCACTTTATTAAAAAAAAATTGCTACAATTGACATATTAGAAAAGATTAGTTTGAAGAATTTATTCATAAGGAAGTAAGGCAAGATGACGAAAAAGAAAAATAGGTACCAATTTGTCTCCTAGCATCTACAGATATTTAATTTTACGGCTGTTAAAGCGCCACATTAACAACTTACCATTCTGACATTAATTTACCAAACTTAATTAATTAACTAATAAATATGATATCTTTTGAACTAAAAATTCAATTGCGACCCTAACGCCAAAAATTAACCCTGTAATCCCTAACCTTTTTCTCTTTCTAAAACTCTTCCCTTCCGATGGCTTCTCAACGCCAAACTACCTTGGGGATCGTCCAAAATTGCCACCACATACCACCACCCGAAGCCCACAAATAAAAGCAACTCATTCTTTGAGTTTTTAGTTCAATGGCAGTGTTTTTAAAATTAGGGATTCTTTTTTCTACTTTGTTCTATTATTATCCATAATCTTTACCTCCAAACAATACATTATTCGGCAAGTTCATTCCCAGACTTCTTATCGTTACTTATATTTATAATAACCTACAGTTATGGTTTGGAGATTTGCTGGATAGAAAGAGAATTATGATGAAAGTTTTCAAACTTTAAATTGCAGCGAATAAAAATTGATAATTGATAATAGTATAGGGAAATCGAAAGAGGAAAACTTAATGGTAATTGTTAATGGTAATATATATTGTGATTTATTGGTAAATTTAAGTGTGCACTTTGTAATCTGGCTTGTGCAATCTACATATAAGTTTAAATTTTATATGTTTTACTCATATTATATAATATATTATTATATTATATATTGCAAATATATCTATCTATAACTATTATTAAAATTACAAAAAGTTTTAGTACATATTGAGTTTCACTACATTATTTCTTTCAATATATTATTGAGTTTTAGTACATTATTCATTTATTTTTATTTATATATCTATATCTATATCTATATCAATTTTTATATCTACACTATAATTAAAAGTACACAGTTTCAGTGCATTATTGAGTTTTAGTACATCATTTATATATTATTTATTTATAAAATATATTTTTAATAATAAATTTACTTCTTATATTCTATTTTATTTCCAACTCTTTCCTAAATATAAATTTATCTTTTTTTCTAATTCCATTCTCTTTCTAACTCTTCTCATTAAAATAATAATAATTTATACTCTTATTAAAATGTAAAGTGTTTTAGATCATTTGTTATTTTTATATTATTTTATTTTATTAAAAAAATTATAAAAATGCTTTCATTAAACACAAACTCTTCTATATTTTTTTAATGATATAAATAAAGAGTTTCCATAGACACCAAATTTATTTTTTAGTGATAAATACAATCTTAAACACAAACTCTTAAAATAATAGAAAGAACTATTATTTTATTTAAAGATACTTGATTGAAAATTATAATTAAAATTAAATTTTATTAATCATATTTGAGTTATCTATACCATTACTTTATTTATAATATATTTTTAATAATAAAATAAAATTATTTTTCCATTGTATTTCTTTCTCTATTAAGGGAAAAATCACGTACTATCATTTTTGTCCAAAAGATACCCCACTAAAATTAAATACCTGAATTAAAAAAATGCTATTACTCACGACCCACCCGTTTATTAAGTTATGTAATGGCAAAATTAACCATATAATTTAATATTAAATTAAAAACTAATATTTATTATTGTGAAATTATGAAAATGCCCATCTTCTTCTTCCTCTTATCTCTCTCTCGAACTTTTACCCCTCTCCACCCTCACTTCAGGTTTTGACATTCTCGCTCCTCACTCCATAATCGCCCATTGTCGTCATTATCATCTCCTTCAAGTCTCTTCGTTGTCAAGTCGGCGATTAGAATCATCTGAAGTTCTGAACTACGCCTTCATACCCACAGAGACACTCAACCAAGTAACACCGGTAATAAGGAACAAGGAGGAGTACCTGAGGACGCTTGGATTCAATCTTGGAAGCTCTGCAATCTCTCTCCAATGTCCGCATAGTCAAAGGTAGCTTCATATTCATATTCTGGTTGATTTTTTTCAACAATTTTAGGGTTTAAGGTTTTGGGCAACCCATTTCCACTAAAACCCAAATTTTATCCGCAAAATCAATGGCCAGTTCTTCAATCCTTCGATTCCTCTCATCGGGGGTTCGATTAAAAAACCCTACTCTTTCACTTCCATTCACAACTCTTTCATCTGCAAAGAAATACTGGACCCACTTGCAGAAGAATGTTTCAAACAGAAAAGGCTCTAAACACAGTTGGGGCACCATTGGACATTTCATGTGTCAATGAGGTCTTACAGAGATTTGCTCCTAATCAACCTCTTATGGGTCTTAGGTTATTTGTTTGGGCTGGCCTGCATGCTAACTATAGACACAGCTCATATATGTATGCAAAAGTGTGTAAATTATTCAGAATTAATCGAAATCGGCAAGTTGTTGATGATTTTATTGAAGCTTATAGGGTTGAGGGTTGTTTGGTAAGTTTAAAGACATTTAAAGTTCTTTTGAATTTGTACAAGGAAGCTAAGCTTGCTGATGAGGGTTTGTGGGTATTGAGGAAAATGAAGGAATTTAATTGTCGGCCTGACACAACGGCATATAATGTTGTTATTAGAATGTTTTGTGAGAAGGGTAAAATGGATGTTGCAGCAGTGTTGATGAGGGAGATGGGTTTGATTGATCTTTATCCAGATATAAATTACATATGTTGCAATGATTAAGGGATTTTGTGATGTGGATAGGTTCAGCCTTTCAGGTTGGTGAGGGTGGGGAGAGGGGTAAAAGTTCTGGAGAGAGAGTGAAGAGGAAGAGGAAGAGGAAGAAGAAATGGACATTTTCGTAATTTCACAATGATATAGTTTTTAATTTAATATTAAATTAAAAGGTTACTTTTGTCATTTCACAACCTAATAAACGGGTGTCATGAGTATGTGGTAACTTGACAGCATTTTTTTAGTTCAGGGAATGTTTAATTTTAGTGAGGATTTTTGGACGAAAATAATAGTAAGGGGGAGTTATGTGATTTTTCCCCGATAGAGAAAGAAATACAATGGAAAAACTCTTGGGTCATCTATTAGCTCACACTCACTCACATGAGAAGTACATAGAGATCAAAGAAAAAATCAGAACTACAAAAATTGAATCACTTTCCATGGTGGATATTGTTAGGATAATGTTCAAATTTGGATAATGTGTCAAATTTTGTAATTTCGTTTCTATTTTAGTGTTGTATATGTAATTTTTTTGATAACTCTCGGCAATTCTTGTTGAACAAGAAGTTGAGTATTGAGCTACATATATAGGGTTGAGTATTGAGCTACATTACAAGTGGTGAAATTCGAAATATAAGATAACATTATTTTCATATATATAGGTAAAGTGGTTTCCTCATTTACATTACTTTCACACAATTACAATTTACAATAGGTGAATTTTGAAATGTAAAACAATGTCGGTTTAGTAAGTGCGTGACTTGGCACGTTTTCCATGGTTTGATTTGCAATGCGGGTGATGTTGTGTGTTTTGCATGGTTTGATCTGCAATGCGGGTACAGTGAGAAGGGTCGTAGGGTGTTGATTGGTTACAAGTATAAGCTGTGGTAATGAAAAGCACGGTTAACCTAACCTGGTTTAGTCTAACCCTGAACTTCAAAGCCCAGCCCAGTACCACCATCAATTACCAGAGTAATACTATTTGGTCCAAACTTGAACTCCAAAGCCCAACCCATTATACTCTCTCTCTCTGACTTCAAACCGTCCTCCATCACCATCGAAGGCATAGATTGACACAGCAGAAAGGTCAGGGCGTCGATTTCGATTATATTGTTGATTTTTTTTGTTTGGTTGAAGTTTTTATTTATTTATTTATTTATTTTGGTTGATAATTCACATTGAGAGCTTCAATTTTGAGAGTTACATATGCTTCCAAATGTTTGTGCTCGATTTCCATGTTTCTCCAGAGCTTTCAAGTTTTATTTATTTAAATTTTTTTTTTTTTAATTTTTTTTTTTTTAATTTTTTATGTGGGTTTCATTATTCATTTATGGGCTCAATTTTTGTTCTCCATCGTGTGATTGTTTAGACAAATTTTAGTTTTGTTCATAATGATTTGGGAACGTGGTTTTACTCCAAAAATTGAATGTGCGTCTCCATTTTTTTTGAACTCGACTCTGTTCCCTAGAAGTTGAAGAACCAACCTTTGCAAACGTGTTTGCTTTATTAATTCAATGGGTCTCTGATGTCAACAAAAGACATTTGTGTGATTCTCCTCAGTGCATTTCTGGGTTATACAACTGTCTTTATGTTTAGAGCTTTCTATCTAATTGGAGATTTTGACTTTACACCACGTCTTTATAATTTGGTTGATTATTGAGTATTTATGTTTATAATCAAATGAATGTTTGTCCTTGAAAAGATATTCGTAATTTGATTTTCGAATGGGCTTGATATACCTTCGGGGTTTGTATTATTGAGTTAATTTATGATTTTTGCTTTCAGATTTGATTGCTTTTATCTATATCAATTTAATAATCTTTGTGGATAGTATATAAGGCTAGCATGGCAGCCACAACTCCTACAAGATGATCACTTAAAGGAGACCATTCCGAATATCTGTGCTCGTGTTCTGTTTTTCCTATATTTTCATCTTTTTAAGCATGCTGGTTTTTTATTCCTGAGGTACGATTTTTTTCCCTTGATTGTGAAGCTATACAACAAAAATGAACTATTTTGATGTACTAAGGTGGTTTAAACTTTACATGGCATTTTATTGCCATTTTTGCATGAATAGCAAGATACTAATCTTGTTTTGATGTGTCATGTTTTGATAAATATATATATATATATATATATATATATATATATATATATATATATTTATAAATATTTTGATGTGTCATGTTACCATGTTACTTTTGATGTTCCTTTTTTTCATGTTGATCTGAAAATTTCGATCGGCACATCAGTAATTAAAATTAGAGCTCAAAGTGCTGGATTGCTTTCATATAGCCAAGTTCTTCTTGGATTCAGTGAGGCCTCTCTAATCTACCATATCCTCTTCAAAGTACTTTGGATTCCTTATCTTTAAATAAGGTTCTGACTACATTTCATTTTAATGCATCTTTTATGGGTGTGCATTTCAGCTGGCCTGGTGTTGCTCTAGCATAGCAGTGCTAAGTCTACGGCATCACTCAGAAACTTATGACACATTCAAGGGACATATATTGTACTTGTTCATTTACAATGTTGTTTTTGAATTATAGACGTGTTTTTTTTTTTTTATAATTGAATTATAGACATGTTAAAGGTTCTCATTGTGCTCATGGGTGTATGTGGTCTGTTTATGTGTGTACAGGTATTACGTGTATTGTGTTTTTACGGTGTTTTAGCCTTCAATTTATGATAGGACGACTCACTAAACAAGAATCGAACTCATTTCATATGGGATGTTTATACTGGTTAGGAGACTGATCTGATTAAGAATAAATAACAATGCATTTAAGATGTAATATGCTTTTTGAATACAATTTAGATGAAAATATGCATGCCCTATTGGAAGGTTGTCAGTGACTAATACCTATATTGGATAAACCAGTGGGTCTTTTGAATCAGAATGTAGGATTAGATTGTGAAATGTTAGCTCCTACAAAATTAGGGAAAGGAAGACCAAATGATAGTTATACACATAGAATTCTTAAAGTAGAACGAAAACAAACCTAAAACAAATCAAGTATACAAATATTATTACAAACATGTGTAACGTGTATACATGCTAAAGTTTTCTAGACTAATTTTATAATGTGACTTGGAAGGTTGAACTCTAGCGCCATGCAATTTGTAAAGTTGTGCCTGGAGAGAATAAAGTTTAGATCACTGCATTTTCATTAAGTTTTATAATACCAAAAATCACTTTCTAATGACACAATCTCAGATAATTCTTATAACTCTTTTGTAGAATCGACTAATTTCCTATTACATATGACACAACAACTGATAATTTTTTTACCAATCCCATACAAATACTCCACCTTATAAAATTTTCAGGTGTCATGACAAAACAAACAAATTATCAAATTTTCTATTTACATAAACAATCCTAAACAATCCCATGGTAGATCCTATTATTCTAAACGATCCTATGGCGACCCGACTATGACCCTCTGGTCCCTTTACGATCTTGTATAGATCTACATGGATTTTTTATTCCTTTGGATTTCAAGATTGTATGATGTAGATTGCAATTTTGATTACCATGTCCTCTTGTGAGTTTTACCAATGCACTTTGGTCCACAGCACTATTTTTGATTGTCATGTAGAGGAAATTTATTGCATGGTGAAAAGATGTTAAATCTAACATAAACAGAAAAAGATGAATTCATGGGACTGTTGTAAACCAATGTGGTAGGTTTGTCATTTTATAAATACTTCAGTGAGTACAGTTGTTCTGTTAATACACAGCCAAGCACAATGGAACTTAATATTAAGTGGAAAAGAAATTGAAGAAAAAAGGGAATAACAAGTTCTCGTCAAGTCTTCGATTAAAAAAGGAAATTCTTTCGTAACTACGAAAACTACATCAGCTTTGTCTTTCAGGGCTTCGAGAAATGGTCTTGTCATCAGATGCAATCTGCTTTGTTTTATCCTTTAAAATACAGTTGGTTGTCTTTCAAAAGTTGTAGGTTGATCATTTCATTACAATTTATAACATAATTTGTTTGCTTAATTCTCTCTTGCTATATACATTGCTATATGACATTCCTGAATTTTAAATATTGGAGTACATTGAAGTGGTATCTTACTTCCAGAACAATTTTCGTCATGTAACAGGGTTATGTTGATCATCGTCTAAAATGGTTCGGTGGTTGTGGAGTAGGACAGGATGCTCTCGTTTGCTCTATGGATGTGAGATGGGATTTAATCGCCAGCAGAAAGCCAGTCTGGTGAATGTAAAGTTAAAATCGGTGAAAGATAGGGTATTGGATGCTGTTGTGGCAGGTGATAGGGATCTAAGAGCTGCCAGCATTCTTGTTTCCATAATATCTGTGAATCCTCATTGTTGCCTTCCAGTTTACCACCTCTCCCACCAAAGAGGGCAACTCAGTCTCCCCCACGATCTTAAGATCTCCACCTTTATGAGGAGATATCCCACTATTTTCGATGAGTTTCATGTTCTTGACAGTGGAGGTACTAGAGTTCCCTGGTTTCGCTTGACTCCTAAAGCACTAGATCTCCATCAAGAAGAACTCGGTATCTACCAAAATTGTGAGATGGATCTTCTTGACAGGTTCTGCAAGCTGCTCATGCTCACCAAAGATAGGATTCTTCCTCTACAAACGATTGACCAGCTAAAATGGGACATTGGTTTGCCATTTGATTACCCTCATTCATTGATTCCCCATCACCCAGATATATTTTCTTTGATTCACCTACCTGATAATCGTGTTGGCTTGAAACTCCTATCCTGGGATGTTAACCTTGCTGTGTCTCAATTGGAAAAGAGTGCTGCTTTGCAGCAAAGGGAAAAAGATGTTGAAAATGGCAGCTTAGCATTTCCAATTGGATTCACAAGGGGTTTCGGATTGAAGAGAAAATGCATGGAGTGGTTAGAAGAGTTGCAGAGGCTCCCTTATACTTCTCCTTATTCAGATGCCTCTCACTTAGATCCGCGTACAGATGTATCTGAGAAGAGAAATGTTGGTGTCTTTCATGAGCTTCTCCACCTCACCATACAAAAGAAAACAGAGCGCAAGAATGTGAGTAATCTCCGTAAACCACTGGCCTTGCCACAGAAGTTCACGAAGGTGTTCGAACGCCATCCTGGCATATTCTACATTTCTAAGAAGTGTGACACCCAAACTGTTGTTCTTAGGGAAGCTTACGACCGTCATCAACTAATCCAGAGACACCCCCTTGTTGACAACAGGGAAAAGTTTGCAAGTATGATGAAGGAAGGGTTTCTGGATAGGAGCAGGGGCTTATACAAGAGAAACAGAGATGCTGTTGTTGAGGAGGATCGATTTAGGAATGTTTGTAGTAATGAACTCAGTGACAATGGATTCAAAAATGAAGGAGAATCAGATGATTCAGATTGTAATTTTCTTTCAGAATATGAATCAGATGAAACCATAGATGATCCTTGCTAAATTCATCAGATGCTTTTAGCAGTTAGCCTTCATGGAATGTTTTGAAACCCCATAGTGTATCAGCAGTATTTACAATATTTGGAGTACAATAGCATTCATTCCTTTTGATGCTGCACCTCATTAAAGATTATGAGCATCCCCGAGCATGTAATTCATGCAATTATGCATTTGGAGTTCAATTGAAATGGTTCCTATTCTGCACACCAAGTTTGAGCATCCATTTCGTATAATCTTTTGAATTGAACTTTCAGTGAGATATCTAAATGATATGTGGAAGATTAGCTGCTGGTTGTAAAAGCTAAGGATTACCTGCAACATAAATGTGAAAGGTGATCCAAGAACTCAAATCTCCACTGCAACGTGAAACAACTAATGGAAAAGGTATTCCCTAGTCACCTAATCCTTTCCCGCCAAATATTAATAGAATTTGGGAGTGATCTTTTACAAGATGAGTTTGTGATGATTGTCTTTAGCATCACGAGGAAGCAGGAAACAACTTGTTTTGATGGAGGAGAGAGAACTAGGAGAAGAGATCTATTTTAGAAGTACTGCATCTGATTTTGATTGTATCTCAGATCTGGTTTTTCTCATAAGTTAACCATTTTAGTTGAAGAACTGAATCTATAGATCAACCGGAAGATGTTACCATGAGTCCATGAAGGATATCTAAATGGACCAATAATCTTAAGGAGCTTTGGGAAAACAAGCTGGGATATAAAATTTATAGTGATTCTTATATATGGAATGATGATTTGGACTTCACGGTTTTCATTTTTTAATGTGTTACAATAATTAGTTTTTCATTTCTGGAATTACGTATCAGAAGTATTTGGGCCCCACATGAGTGCAGCTGTGCTAGATTGTATTCAGAATATTCAAGCACAGTCTCCATAATGAATGGACTTTGAACATGCTCTGCACCAAGGTTTTTTTGGATAAAGCAACTATTATTTTTGTTTAAAGAATATTTAAACTTTAAGAGAGAAATTGTGTGTGCGCAGAAGTGGGTGTTTGTGCATCTTTTTTTTTTTCCCCTAAGCTTGTTGTCCTTTTGGTTTCTGTAGAAGCATTCAACTCTGTTAATATGCCAAATGTACAAATGGAAATGATTCATCATAATGGCCAATTTCCATGGCAAGGTTATTCCTTTCCTGGAATTTGATTATTTTGCAGCATTCCTTCTGTTGTTGAGATCAAGGGGAAAAAGATTAAGTTTTGTGATCTTTTCAACAAGAAAATAAGTTTTTAGCATATAGTTTAGATATCTAGTATTGATGCTGGAAGTTTCAATTTTTCTTTATTTTGCAATTGATATGGTGGTATTGAAAGTATTAGTATCTCCTGTTTGTACAATTTCCCATACCATGATTGCTGTTGGAAGTTTTAAATTGGTCTGACTTTTCTATTGAATTAACTGAACTTCTATTTATTTGTAAAACTCCCAGACTACTCCCAAATATCCTTCAAATTTAGGAAAATTGTAGTTACTGAAGAAAAAAGAAAAAAAAAATCCAGATTGTGACAATTTCTGGATAACAGGTCTCTGTTAAACCTTGGCACCAAGGTTCATCCTTCCAAAGTGCATGGTCACAGTGGATGATTCTGCTTTAAAGACCATCAATCAAGTGAGTCTCACCTATTGAACAGGGGCTGGCTCTGCCAAGGGATAATAATACCACAAGGGAGAGGTTGGATGCTAACGTTGTCTGCCATATGGTCCAATCATTCTCTATGAGTTTTTCCTTTTTCTTCCTTTTTTTATACATAGAAAAGATCTTCACATCTAACAAACACTTTGTTCTCTCCTTTATGCAGCGCTATTTGGCTGTTATACACTTAGCTTGACACTTTTGTAATGTTGGCATGGAGACGTGATCATTTGGAGAGAGACGAGTTTGCTGAACTAATTCAGAAACTTGTGGCTGAGAAAAAGTAATGTGGGGCTGAGAAGATAAAGTCCGATTGGCAGCTTCTGGAAGAGGACATGGTTGAATTGAAAACTGCTTTCAAGATTGGAAGGGTATGACCATTGGGAAAGGCTAAACATATGACCATTATCATGGATGAATCCTATAGTGAAGATACAAGGAGGTTTATTCTGTTGGATTCAGCATTCCAGTAAACCAGGTCTGGATCCCCTCAACCCCTCTTCCTGTATGGGTTCATCCTGTTATTGTTCATACTTCATAATGAGGCTGCTAATGAATCGATCAGACCTACATTAAAAGGCACCTTGGTCTTTTTGTAGTTTTGCCTTTAAAGATGATTAATTGTCCCAAATTAACTGAACACTGATTGTAAATATTTCTTTTGTTTCAACTTTCATGGTAAAACATTCTTTTACATAAATCTAGTCTTGTCTAAACACTTCGACCTCAAGGCACTACCTGGAAAAGAGGATTCTAAAAACTCTAAACTCCTTGGACCTCAAGGCATACTGACACATACAGTGGGAAACCTAGTTGCTAAGATCAAGTTTAAGGGCCATAAAAGCTTGTTTACCCAATCTTTTGTTCTTCATAAAATGGAGCAGTTCATGGGCAACTTGAGATACTATTAGTTATTTGCCTTCCAGCAACAAAGGCACTTGGATCTTTTCTAATAATAGAGTTAAGGACTGATTGGAGCCTATTGGTAATTTGAAATGATCTTATAAGACACATTACGCAAAGAAATAGGGCAATAATAGCCAACTAAAGTTGGATTTTCTACTTTTAGGAATAAGAACAATATTTGCGTGGCATATGAGTATTCTTCTCCTTCTTCTAATAGTACTACTAGTTGCATGATTTTTATTTTTTATTTTCTGAATTTCTGTCTCCGAGCTGCAACAACTGAAGTCTGGATTTTTGTTTCCAATAAACTTCTTCTTCACTCCATTAATTATGAAGCTCATTTTCAAGTTGTTTCATTTTGGTAGCATCACAATTGGCACGCGCGCTGAATCCTCTTTCAAAGAGAAAAGCTGATCTTCCATTGCCTCTTTTTTCTGTCTTTAACTTTACATACACATTGTATTCTACAAGAAGATTTTCTTTAATGACTTCAAAGACTAGAGATTAGTTACACATTGTATATACCAAATATCCATTGAATATTTGTATATATAATATCAAAAGTCAACTCTCACATAAGTCTATATAACCATTTTACACTCTACTCACTAAATAATATAGCCGCTTTACTCCCCCATTTTACCCACTAGTCACTACCGAAATGGGTAATTTAAGTACCACTTTACTCACCAACAAGTTAAACAACTTGTTCAAGGCAAGCCAAACCTTACCTCTGTTACAGTGGTTGCAAGTTGCAACACTCAGACCTGCCAATTCATACACATGCCTATTTAATTGAGACATTGACTATTAGGAAAGCTCGAGAAATGTTGGCAAAAAATATGGAACCAAACACAGATCTTAAATTTACGAAAAGAATATGGAACCAAACACAGATCTTAAATTTACGAAAAGTACATTCATCTCCTTCAACTTCAGTAGATAAATGGGCTGAACATAGGTATGATTTTTTCCTATTTTCTTGTTTTCTTTTAACTGTGGTAGCCATATATTGCCAGTGTGATTTTTGTTCTATATTTCTGGTTTTGATTTTTTTTTAACATTACCTATTGTATTGTGAAGATGGGTTTTGAGTTTTAACTCTATAGTGAATAAAAAAAAATTAAAATTTTTATATTCATGCAATTAATTTTGTCCCCCCAAATAAAAAGTTGTGGGTCCACCTGTGACCTTTGACATTATTATGAACCAAAATGCTTAATTCCAACTTCAAACCAATGTTCTTATGGTTGGCAATAGATGCAAAATTCAGCACGATCTGGAACCGGGGGCCTTTCTTTAAAGGAAGACCTTGTATTTAATTTGTGGCATACCTTTCTAGGTTGACTGAAGATCCAGTATTTGTCCTACATTTGGCATTATTTTACACCAATTGACTGCTTTAAACTCAAAGCCCAATCTCATCCTTGGCAATTTATTTTTGTGATAGCACTAAATAATGGCCACTTCAGATAAAGTTGGTTGTAGGTTGAAAAAGAAAAAGAAAAGAGAAAGCTATTAGTGTTTCCCTTGCCAGTACGTTGGTGCTTGGAGCATAGTTCGTCAAATCGATTTGGAAGCCTTTCATTCATCCGATTTGAACGGGACGTACTGATTTTGGATTTCTCTGGTGTTCCAATCTTATCTTAAATCAGTTAGAAGCAAGTATGTTAAAGTTTCCGTTGCCACTATCCTCTGGCATATTTGGTGGAAGTGGAACCAGACCCTTTCACAACATAGACTCTAATAATGCTGTTCAATCGGTTAGGAATTTCATTTGGGAAGTTACTGACAGTTTGGGTGTGCATCTCGAGGACCTGTTGGGAATGCTCTTATCCTGATTTAGTTGTGGGCTTTACTGCTTTGATGTTTAATTTGGTTGTGTGGGCTCCGTCTTCTGTTGTTCATTGGTGTGCTTTTCCTTTTGTTCTGTTCTTTCTTTGGTCCTTTGGTTTTGTTATTGTCTGGAAATTGTTTTTCCAGCTCTTGTTTTGTTGGTGTTTGGTTGTGGCTCTCTTGTTGTTTTAATGAAGTGCATTTAGGGGGGGAAATGCCAATTTATTTTTAATCACATGTTTGTCTGTTTTAATGCTTGTCCGTTTTTTTGCCAAACAGATAGCACGGCACATAAACATCCCTTTCTCACACCTATCTTTGATAGACTATTTGATAGTGCTACAAACATATGATAGTAGGGCATTGGTAGTTCAGAAATTGGCTAAATGAGAGAAACCAAAGGAGTTCTTTTGTATAAGCTCAGAGTTCCAGATTTGTTGAGTGAGCCAAAAAAAAAATCATCTGTTTGGTGCCGGGACTTTTTCTTTTCATGACCATATTGACTCAATATTTGCCTTATTTTTTAGCGGCCAAATTGGTCTGAATTGACTGGAATAACAAAATTGGCCGCGTTCTCTGGAATTGGCTGGAGTGGTGGACTGGGTAGTAACACATCAAAATGATCCTTGTTAGCTTGAGACCTCAATTTCACCATGCAATAACTCTAACAAGAAGTGAAGGCATGTATACATATGTTTGCATATATAGATCAACAACATCAAAGACCATGTCGCCAGATAGTACTGCATCATATAATCAACTGATTGCCTTCATGGTATGGTTAGCTTGTACGCTAGTCTCTTGTCTCCCAACTTTTATCTTGCTAGAAGTGATTATCTGGAAATCTATACTTCCGAGAAAAAAGTGGAACAAATTGTAAAGATTTATCAGTTCTTTGTATGTTGCTTTGGTTTTCTGGTTTCTGCACGTACTGTTCAAATTTATACTGGTTCTTCATGCAACTTTATAATTTATACGTTCTTCTGTGCAAATTGCAGGTGATCCTTTGTGAGGAGAATTTCAAGGGCATTTCTAATTTAGAATTCATTATCGCATTGGCCAGAGCTGCTTGCACTATATACACGTCTTTTTCTCTTGTAAAAAGGTTGCCTCAGTTGTAGCAATCTCACCTGGGTGTTTTAATGCCTTACTTTTCTCCTCTGTTTCAAAGTCTTATTTTTCCTCTCTTGCAGGTGACACAAAATTTGCCCAAGGTTTACAGACCTATTTGCTATCAAGGGATTACCATAATTTAAAGTTGGAGTTTCAACTTGGAAACGGAAAGGTTTGTTTTTTCCTTGGAACTTTAAATGTTTTGCTAACCCTTGCCAAAAAATATATATATATATATATTTAAGAAAATAAAATAAAATAAGATGGTCTCTCAAATGTAGTGTTGATTTCTTGGTTTTTGGATATTTTCCTGCCTTTTTACAGATTAAGGTTGATTGCGTTGAAAATCAGCCTGCAGTGGAGGTGATGTTAGGACAAACATGTATTCTTGTCAGTTGGGGATTACTTCTTGCGCACAAAAACTCAGTGATTTTATCTCATTGGTTGGTTTTACATTCTTCAAAATCTTTATTTTTTTTTTTTGGAAGAATAACCAAAAAGAAGGGACTAAACAAAGAGAAACACATTATTTCCAAAGGGATACATGCAGGCGGTTATAGTTGTTATTGTTGCTTTGTTGTATATGGATGGAGTTTCCAGAAAATACATACACATATTAATGATTGAGCGTGTAAATATCATGGTGGTGTACCTGCATTTGCACTCAAAAGGTTGTCCATTAATTTCCATTTTCAGTAAGGAGCTTAGAATACTCTAACCTGACGGAGTTACCTATATTCCAGAGCTCCTCAAGAGTTGATGTTATTGTAGTTTGAGTTACAAGTGACTATAGGATGAGATGGTGTTGATAATGCATGTTGTGTATGGGATTGTTTTTGGCTGGGGCTCTTTTCCCTTTTACTCCCTCAAAATCGTACGAGACAATTTTTTTTTCGTTTTTTTTTTTTTCTCTTGGCAAACTAGGGGGACATGGCACATCTGCCCCGGGAGCAGGGCTCTCTACCAACTAGTCGACTGGGTAATGCCCAATTGCACAGAGGCATTTTTCAAAACATGATGCGTGGGTCATTTTGCCATTCATATATGTGTTTACTCGGGTATAGACAATGGGGTAACATTGAGTATAAAGTTGAATTGGCTTGGATGATTGTATGAAATGCTTGTTTGGTCTATCTTCTTCATTTTTTGTTAGGTTTTGGAGGGGATAGATAGCATAATCGTTGATTCAACCAGCCCCTGATTTATTTTGTTCAACAGGATGCGAAGTATTTGCAGTTGGCTTTTTAAAATTATTTCTGTGTTGGTAAAAAGTTTCACAGAAATAAAAGCATGAGAATAATATTACAAAATTGTGAATAATTTTATGTTTTTTGAAAACTGATAACCAGAATATTATACAGAAATCTATTTGGTTGACAGGTTTTCGAAAATTCAATTAAAAAATAGGCCTGTTTTGAAACTGTTTTTTAGTGACGAATCAAATAAAATCACTAATTTGAAACTTTTGGTAGTTATGTCAAATATTATAGAATTATTTGTACAAAACATTTCTGAATTACAAATTTTACAATAAAGCTAACAGCCCATTTCCCATTATAACTGTCTACACATGTAAAATAAATAAGATAGATGATCTAATTAGTCTATATTTTCTTACTAAACGTATAGACAAGTGTTATGCGAATCTCCAAATATTACATGTGTTTTCCGTAGCATTACTTTTACTATTGGCTCACTTGGCTTGTCATTAGTTTGAAAGGCTTGGTTGACTCATTTAATCACAAAAGTCATCCAAGTTTGATTTGGACTAGTATTCATAAATTCATAGTCTGCATAATGCCTATGCTCTTAAATATATATTCGTAAATTGATATTTATGCACCAATACAATATGCTTTATACCTTTCCGTCTCGAAGCGTCCACAAATTATATCCAAATCACGTTCAACATTGAAGATGCAAGAAATTCGTTCCCCTCTTTCTCTCTCTAGAATTCTTACACCTCAACCAAAAAGATCCCCCTCATTTCCATTCCTTATCCTATTTATAGATGTTTACCAGATATTTACAAGATATTTACAAGATATTGACTGATTGCTGGATCTGGGCCTATTCCTCCATAAGTCCTGGTCACCTTTGATGGGCTTACTCGCGTTCGGCCCATATGGCAGTGTCTTTATATGGGCCGACCCAGCTGTACGGACTGAATGTAGTGTTTGCAAGTCGGATCCGGCCCATGTCGTCCGGGGCCTCCTCAACTGCCCCCATAATTGCCCCTTATTTAATAAGGGGTAATTATTGATGGCGTCTCATCATGATGTTGACGGCTCGAGATAACCACGTGGGGGAACGGACGGTCAGATCCAGAATCAATATTCCGGGGCTCGAGGAATTTCTCGCCTTCCCGACGCTTCGGCCCTCGGGCCCCCTCGCCTTTATAATGCTCTAGAATTCCACTTCACGTCCCTTTACCGTCTCCATCATTAGTCAAGTCTCTCTCTTTCTAGAACAGTGCTAAGCTTTTTCTGGTGAAATCCTTCAAGAGTCATTCTTCCAGCGATCTTGCAGTCCTCCGAGGTTAGTTTCGTTCTTTTTTACTTTCGGCAGGCTTCCATTTACCCCCTTTTAGATTCTTCAAGCACTTCCACCATGGTTGTAGATCTGGATGTTCTTCGTATGAGACTTAGACTTCCTGACAACATCGAAGTTAGGGTTTGCCCTCAGGACGTTAACATTATGACCGGCGCCGGCCTCCTGCCCGGCGAAGTCTTATTCACGAACCTTCAATTGAATATTGTTAGGTTCCCTCTGCACCCTTTCTTTAGTTACGTCTTCAATAGATTGGGGATATCCCCTCTGCAGGTCAACCCCAACTTCTTTAGAATCATATCTGTTATGCTCTTGTTGATGCGTGACAGAAATCTGGACCTTGACCTCATAGACCTTCTTCTGTGCTATAAGGTCAGTAAGATCCGTACTAACGAACCCTTCTACCACCTCTACCCGTTCGAGAAGATGTCCATATGTACGGACACAATAAAATCTGAGAAGGGTTGGAGGGATAGCATCGTGGGCATTAGTGGGGCTTGGTCTTCGCCGGCTGCAGAGGGTTACCCAATCCCGAGCGCCTTTGGTGTCTGTTCTGTCTCCTCCTATAAGAAATTCAAATCTCATAAACATGATTGCCCCTGCGAAACATGCGTTCCTCGTTTTTGCACTTTCTTATGCCGTTCCTTAGGAATACCTTGTGATGACTTGAGCTATAGTGTTTGCAGGGATAGGAGTAACTACTTGAAGAAATACGTTCTGAACGATATTCCTTCCTACTCAGATCTCCTCACTTCAGACAACCTCTTAGCGCTCTCATCACTCGGCTACAACATGAGCAGACTTCAGATTCCTTCTTTTGGCAGGAAGAAAAATACTCCCCCAGCCACTCCTGCTGCTGGGGTGACCTCCTCTCCAGCGTCAGCCTCTTCTTCAGCCACCATCTCTGACACCGTCCCGAGCACAGTGGCTATTAACTCTGTTGCCAGCGCCCCTGCTGCCAACCAGAGCGCGTCTCCCCAATCTACCATAGCTCCTGCTGCTGCGGGGGGCGGTCGGGACAAAGAACGAGACAAAAGGCCTCATCCTGACAGTGAAGTCGATCCTGAGGAGGGGCCTCTCATTAGAAGGACCCGGGTCTCCGGGCCGGGTGCTCTCTTGCACCGAGCGATCAGATCTCCTGCTCCCTCTGGGCCTGCTGCAGCTGGTGGCTCCGCTTCTGCTTCAGGCCCCCCTTCTATCCCCACCTTACCGCCATGGGCCCCTCGGTACACCCGAATGGATGGGACGTTCGTGAAACCGAACGAGACCATGCTGAAGGATGGCCAGACCGCCATGGCCTACTACAGGAGCATGTGGACTCCGAAGGACCTTGAGGCGGCAAAGGGCCTATCCCAGAAGGATGTGTTCAGCCGCTTTCCCCAATCTGCTATGGAGGTGACTTTTATTTTTCAACTCATGAATTCTCTCATATTATTTGGTCTTGCCTTCGCCCAACCTGACTATTGGCTTAACCGTTTTTAATGTGCACCTATGCAGACATTGTTCGGAATGATGGCCATGCAGAAGCAGGTGGAGATGGGGAACGCCAGGGCCCGTAAGTTTTCTGACAGCCTGGAGGTGGCTAAAAGGAAGTTTGTCCACTTTATTTACTTAAACAGTTTTTAAAAAATAATTATTTAACACGCTATCAGTATAGTCAATCACGTCAAATTCGATGTTAATTGAGAATTTTTTTTTTCAATTTATCGTTACTCTTTGTAGAATTTTTTAATCATTACTATGTGTTAATCGAGAGATTTTTTAGGAGACAAAAAAGAAAAAAGAAAATAAAAATTGTCTTCTTTTTACATAGTTGCATCGGGTGAAAATCAGCTTGAGTGAAATAGTGTGCATCTACTCAAAGTGGATTGACGTCACCTACGTTTGAAAATGCATAGTGAAAAATATTGAGATCTTACAAAAATGTTGGAATATATTTTTATTTATAAAAATGGAGAAAATAAATTACTGTGCAACTGGGGTGATCCCTATCCGCATCTTTGAAGAGAGATTGTTTTTAGCATAGAGATGGTAGAGGGGATAGAGAGAATGAGTAGTAGCAGCGGCAACGTAAACTCTGTGTTCTACGCCGACACATACCATCCGATTCAGACAGGAAGCATCGACGGTACGGACATTCATCCTCACGACAACGCCGTCTACAGAGCTCTCCTCTGTTCTTCCGCTGGCCTCTGTACGTTACCAAAAATTCTCTCTCTCTAAACCAAATTCCACTTTCAACCCACTTGACTTCTTCTTAATTTGCTCGGAAAATTGATGTTTTGCAGATGACCCATTTGGTGATCCGAAGGTTACAGGGGACCCTTATTGCACTATCTTCGTGGGTCGTCTCTCTCACTTCTCCACAGAAGAGACTCTTCACAAGGTATTACTTAAGATAATTTTCTACTCTCTTTTGTTTTCTGATATTTTCACTCCTTTTCTCAGCGACCAAACGCATTTTCTGGTGCATTGGAAATGTGGGTTTTGTGTATTTCAGGCTATGAGCAAATATGGGAAGGTGAAGAACTTGCGATTGGTCAGACACATTGGTAATTTCTGTTTTCTGCTCCCTTTTTTGTGGTAACGAAGTGGTATATGCTTGTGTGTTCATTGTAAAATTTCAATTTAGTATGCACTTGCTGACGTTAATGATTGGAAATTTCATCTCTCTATTCACATTCTTGGGTGTAAAAAATTGTTGCTTTTATAAATTCTTTTTTTAGAATTTGTTTTGCCGTTTGTTTTTTTTTGTTTTTTTTTTCCTCCTCCACTAGAGTTACCATCAATTGTTTTGAATCTTGTTTGGTGTGTCTCTTCCTAGTCATGTTAACACCAACAAGTTGCAATGAAAGTATGGCCAAGTTTAAATTTATAAAGTGCCACTACTAACTCTAACTACTAATATAACTAGGGTGGGTAGGGATCGTCCCAAGGGATTGGAGGCTATGTTAATATGGAAGCAAGGTCGGATTACTAGGTCGAGTGATCAAATGGTGTTTTGATTTGTTAATTAAACTACAATATAAATAAATTCAATACTAAACAACTAAAGTAAATAAAAGGATAGAGAACAAGAGAGAGGGGTCTTGGGATCTAGAGGTCACCACTAAACATCACCATTCTAGACACTCAATGTGTAATGAATGAGGGGAAACATGTGTTGCAATACAAAGAGGTGCGATTGATTGAATCAACAAGTATGGATTGACTAATTAAGCATACATTGTCTAAACAACCTAGTAAATAGCACAATATATCAAACTAAGCCATTAATCCTTCCTTTAAGCTCACAATCAACACACTAATAAGTTAGAGAATTATACTACTTGCATTCATAAGTATGGAACATCAAACAACAAGTATGGATTGTCCTCACATCTAAGAAAGTAAAGCAACTACACTACATCTAAGTTAAGGACATGGAAATTAAATTAAGGTAGAGACACAATCCATCAAGAAATGAGTAGGAACCATCAAACAAATCATAAGAGTATACTATTTAAGCACTATGCCATTCATAGCATCAATACACATAGACATGCATCAATATCACAAAACCAAGAGATAAACACATGAACATCTACTCTAGCATACATAGACATATGGATAGAATGAAATGATCAATTGGAAGTATTAATCAACACAAATCATTGTAAGAATAAGATTCATGTATAAATCAAATGTCAAGACAACATTACAACACAAATTCCCTCAAAATACAAAACATCAAGGTCTAGAAGGCATGCTTAGGGCTAACTCTAGCCCCAAGAAGATGTTTAGCCACTCATTGATATAGTCATCCAACCCTTAAGGGCCATCTCCATGGTAGAAATGCTCTTCTTCTTGATAAAAACCTTAGAAGAATGGAAGAACTCCCAAAAATAGTGTATGTCTCTCTAAGCTCTAGCCTCCTCTCCAAGATATGTGATATGAGATGCATTGAGATCTCTAAGTTATGTTGAGATATGATGTAAAAATGGCTCAAAATCCTTATATAGGAAGCTCAAGTGTCACACCCAATGGTTAGGTCTCGTGCACTAGGGTCCCTTCAATGATTACACCACGAGCCATCTTTTAATGAGCTGGACTCTGTTTTATTTTGGACTTAAGGAGGTTCGATTGATTGAATTCAAATGAGATCGATCGAACTGTGGCTAGATCCATCGAATTAAGGCCAGATCGATCAATCCTTGGCGGCGCCTTTTTCAAATAAGACAAATTTGAGATATTTTTGGGATATTTTGGGAAAAAGACAAAAGTGGTAGGTAGGGATAAGATCAAGGAAGTTCAATCAATCTGAAGAAAGTTGGATCGATTGAAGATGGAATTTCTTTGAGGATAAGGACAAGGGGTCTGATTCATCTTGGTGAGGTGAGATCGATCAATGTGAGATCGATCGAAAATATTCCTGATCGATCGAAGTTTGCTGATTTCCACCACTTTGCTCCATTCTTCCATTCAGCTTGAGATTGCTTCTTTTATGCTCTAATTTGGTTGAATTGACTTATTTTGGGGATAAGCACCTGAAAAGGGTAATAACATGAAATTAGTTTAAAATGGGAAAGTAAAATAGATAAAGGTCCTAGAATACTCAAACTTAAGGGGTTTAAATGCGCACTTTTCAGCGTTCAATCATTGTTCATCTCTTTTATTTATTTATTTATTTTTATTTTATGGCGATGGTCAATTTTGGTAGTGCATTTCATTTATATGATTGTGAAAGTTTATCTACTTATCGAAGATATTGACATGTCTATCTAATTATTTGTTTTTGAAGAAGACCACTTTTATGCTATTCTACATAATACAATACATAAAATCTTGTAGTGTGTTTTGGGCATTGAATTCACTTGCCACTGACACTGCAGAATTTTTTACGATATGACCTGCTATTAGTCTCTCACCAGATTTTTAAATAATTTTCTAAATAAACTAAAGTACCAGGCTAGATCCAAAGATGCACATGATTGTGATAAATTGGAGCTATTATCCGATCTATAAAATGCCTACCCTACCCTATTGTAAAGCAAAACCATAACTAGAAATTATTTATTCAGAAACCAAATTTTAGTCAGCCAATATTTTATAATCCCTCTTCTTTTTTTCTTTCTTTCTATTATGAAATTGAATTGGTTCCCCCGTTGGAATTAGCTGTCCCTCCTCAAACAAATCTATAGATTCCTTCCAAATTATGAATTCTGTAAATTGTTTATTTGCTTACTCTTTAATGAATTTGATTTGTGTGATAATGTATTGTTTATTTTTAATTTATTCTACTATAGAATGCCAAATAATTAACTTAAAATTTTTTTCCTTGTGGAATTTAGTAGTTGAGAACAAGAACCTTTCAATAGATTTATGATGAAACCATTAATTTGTAAATTTTGGATTTTTTTTAATTTTTTTTTAGGATTATATCTGCATTTGAGAAACTTTGAAGTCCCTGTCCAATTAGATTAGGTGGTCACTCAATTCAATAGACGCCTATAGAAAATTTTGTGTTTTTCTCCAAACATAGTATGTGTGAATTTTCTTTCTCCAAGTGCTAGCAGAGGTGTGGCAATCTTATGAATACTTGTAGTGGCATTCCTATCAGTATATGCATAGTGTTATTAAATATTTATTTTCTTGAATTTTGGTAGCTCGTACGGAATTTGTCTCAAAGATAGGATAAGATGTTTTGCTCGTGGTCATCCATGTTGGTCTCAGTCTGTATTGGTTTTATGTTATTCCTGCAAACTAGTTGCATTGCCAAAATTATCATTTGAGTTTATATATGATTACTTGCCTTTCTAATTTGGCTGGTGCTTCGTTGGCAGTAACCGGTGCATCACGTGGTTATGCCTTTGTTGAGTTTGAAACTGAAAGAGAGATGCGGCGAGCATATGAGGTGAGATGGTTAAGTACTTAATAGTTTCGTGTTCATCAAAACGTAAGAAAGATTGACATCTGGCCCCTCCCTCACTCCTCAGCAATAACACATTGGCTTTACAGATTTCAACTTTCATCTTTTCAGGAGTGTGAACCATGCTTCTTATTGGAATTAATTTTCCTAATACTGTCATTGCTCTGTAAATTGCATATGTTTGGGATAAGAATAAAATTCATATTTATTGGCCTTGAAAAGAAAAGAAGGAATAAAAAGGGTCTTGGAACATGTTTAGAATTGAGGAAGAAGACATTAAAGAGACTTGTTTAGAGAGCAAGCAGTAGCTCGGTTTCTGTCAGCTTCCCACGTGATCTTAGTTTAAGAGCTTGGCGACCAAGCTTTTGAGGTGAGACTAAGGTTTAGGTAATAATTATAAATTTGTGATATTATGAAGCTTTTATGTGTTCCCAAAAGTAAAATAGAAGAGTTGATTTACTGGAGCTTAACAATATATGAATTTTGATGCATGTTATTCCTTATAGTGGATAAAACAGTATTGGGTTGTTGTAATGCATCTGCAAGGGTGTATATATGAGAGTGGGTTGATGTTATGAAAGCTTTTGGAGAGCAGGAGAGAGTTTAGGGGAACCTCAATTACATAAACTTGCATATGACGCGGAACTAAGGGATAAAATGCTTCCGGATTTGTAAGAAGCTATTGCTGAATTATTGTGTTGCCTATAATTAGGATACGTAGAACAAATTTGGTGATCTTATCATTGAGAATTGAGGGCATTTGCCTCTCTATCCATTAGTCTTAGTACACAGGGAGCTCTAATTACCTATATATCCAGTAATATTAAATGGGGAATGTGAATCTACTTCCTTATTTCTGAACTTCAAAGCACGGTGAAGCAATTATAGTGGGGAGCAGGGACGGACCCAGAAACTCAAGGGAGGGGGGGCAATACTGAATTTTTTAATAATTTCAGGGGGGGGCAAAGGTAATATTTCATTAGTATATATATCAGAATGATAAAAATAGTGGGACATAATAGTAAAAAAAAAAATATTTCAGGGGGAACCCTTAGTACAACTTAGGTCCGTCCCTGGTGGGGTGCCAGTATTACTTTAGGATGAAATGTTTAAGGGTGACACGTCTTAAATGGGTTATTATCATGCCTCATTGTCTTAAACAAACTGAAATTTAGGAAGAACTTAGAAAAAATTCAAGAAAGCATTACAGCATACGAAGACTTTACCAGCTCATTAAACTGGCATTTTTGGAAGTTATGACCACCTCTTTGAGGAGGTGAGATCATACCAATTATAAGGAACTGTTAACTAGAAAATTTATAACTGTTAAAAAATCCTTGATGATAATTAACAAACATTTTATACAAATATTACGTTCTAATTGTGCTCCTTGGTCAACTATATTAGAATTGATAATGCTTTCACTAAAGAGAAGGTTGAAATTTTCGGACGTTTAGTGGCAGTCTTCTGAATTTAGCATTCATGCACCATGCAAATGAAAGTTTTATGGGTGTTTTAGCAACCATTTGGATGATTTTATGTATTTGAGAGATGATCCTGTTCTGATTATTATTGTCAAGCTGATCTGAATTACTTATTCCTTTTCCATCTCTTCATAGAAGTAAAAGATTAGGTGCTGAAGATGTGCATTTTATCGTTGTCATCATAAGGAATATCTCTGTTCTTTTGCAAGATAAGCTTGGCAATAAAAAAGAGACCCTGTGATGATTAGGATACTTGGACTTCTAGTTCTTACCTTTAGCTTATTCTTGCTTCAGATTGCTATTTTTTCATGTTTACATCATCATTCTCTCTGTATTTGGAATAGTTATCCTATAGACGTGAGCTTCAAAGAAAGATTCAAAATAACTTTGACATTGAATCCTAAACCCTCACCAACCTATACTACTCCATTCTTCATGCTTGGCATTTGATCTTTGAGCTTTGAGGTTCCTTCTTGAACATTGAGGTGCATTTTTGACTTTGTCAATTTTGAATGCTCTAGCTTTGACCATTTGCCTTGTTGAATGCTATCTTGAAAATGTGATCATCTAGCACAACACTCATTATAGACGTTACTGCTTAAACACCATTAATGGTTTGTAATCATCAAAATTACTAGATTGCCCTTAGGTCAAAACCTTTGGGTCAACTAGGTTGTTCTTGGGATACTTGTTTAAAAGCCTTTAATAGTAGCATATGCTTTTCCACATAGGATAATGCAAAATTATTTTAGTTATTTAGATTGTCCTTATTGTAGTTAGTTCAGATATGCTAGCATGTTGGTGCTTGTTCCTTTTATTTCCATTATGATACTTTTCCACATATGATTATGCAAACTTATATTAGTTATTGAGGTTATCATTCTTCTTGTAATTTGTTTGCTTATGATATCATATAGGTACCTTTTCTGCGTGTGTGTCAAAAGTTATCAGATAGGTTCTTAGTCCTTCTAATATGACATTCTTTTAAATGCATTTAGTTCCTAACTTTGAGGTGTCTGTCATCCAATATATCCTATAGTTGCAGTGTCAGTTTTGTCGTACCAAATATTAAGAGAGGTCGCCATTCTCTCTCTCTCTCTCTCTCTCTCTCTCTCTCTATATATATATATATATATATATATTCTGTGGTCTGTTTACACTGTTTATATTTATTTACTTTACTGTTAGCCCTGACCCTAGGGTTTGTGATCAGATCATCCTAGTTACCCGCTGCCTGTGGAGGATCTACTGGTGCAAACTGTTAATTGAGTTGCTTATGCTTTTATACCTTTGCTGTGCAGGAGGCTCATCATTCGTTTATAGATGATTCTGAAATCATAGTTGATTACAATAGACAGCAGTTGATGCCAGGGTGGATTCCAAGAAGATTAGGTGAAGTACATTTTCTCCTCCTTGAAAATTTGTTGCTTGCTCAGATCAGTTTTAATATAATTTTCTTTGACAGGAGGGGGCCTTGGTGGTAAGAAGGAATCAGGACAGCTTCGTTTTGGAGGACGAGAAAGACCATTTCGAGCTCCGCTGTAAGCATTTACTGTACTTTCATATTACATTAAATGATTGGATAAAATTGTTGTTTTGTCCCATGCCGCCTTCTAAATTGTTGTTTCATATTACACATACATTCTAAATTTTACTTTCATATTTCATTAAATGATTGGAGAAAAGATGGCAATCACATATACAAATTGCCACATTTTCTTCATTTCTGATAAATTTTGGAAGCCACATACAAGATGTAATAGCGTAATATTATGTGCAACATGTATCACCTTGAAGTTTGATGTTCTCATTTTTGTTATTTTTCACTTCACATTGTTGGGAATATGGAGTTAGGGTTTTGCATAAAATGGAAGGACTGCATGGGATAACTAGGGTGGAAAAGTTGGAAATTTATATGAATGGAAAAGTTGAATGTTGAAAGACTCTGTGAAATGAATAGAAGTAAATGAAAAAGAATTTGAAGTTTCTTCCTTCACCTTGTTGCACAAAATATTCTGAAAAGGTAATGCATTTCTTTTATTTATAGTTATTTTATATGCTTACTAAAAGGGTTACCTAATACCGTGGTTTGGGGCGATAGCTAGTACCCAAAGTGATTAGTCCTTTCCCCAGGGGAGATGGCGTCACCCTTTGTTAGAGGTAGCGAGACTAACAGCAATTGCAGGAATAGGTTTACTTTCTTTCATTTTGGTTATGGAAGTGAAAGTAGTTTCGTTTAGTACGAGATCACTTCACATGTCACAATGCTTACACCTCTTGCTTACGAAGTTCTGTTCAAAAACCTCATCCAAGAACTTGTATAGAGAAGTATTTCCCTCGGCGCAGCAGTCTAGTACACGACTTGGCATTTCAACTGAATTCATTGTACTTGAACCTGACCAATTCATAGCTCTGGTATTATAAATGCATTGCTATTTCCATAATGTGTCTGCCTCATGTTCTCAAAGACTAAAATTGCCAATAGGTCTTTTCTTTTTCTGTGTCTTCTCACTAACTCAATGCATTAGTAGATTTCTTGCTTTGGATATAGGTAGGTACCTGCCTAGGCATTGTTCTTCAAACAGAACATACATCAATGCCATGTTTGTTTCGTAAAAACTGGCACTAGTTGAACATCTATTGATCAACCACAACTTGCATTTTGGTTGCCACACACACTAGCGATAACTGTTTTTTTTTTTCTTCTGGTGGTAACCAGACGACCAATTCCATACGATGATTTGAAAAGGCTAGGCATCCCACCTCCTCCAGAAGGAAGATACATATCACGCTTTCAGGTAACGTTCTCTCCAAGTTATTACCATTCAAATGTCTGCAGGAAAATGATCAGATTGCCATTGAACAAATTGTGGTGGTTGCGTACGAACTCGTTTCTGATTCTTATTACTCTTCTCAAGAGTCCCTTAATTTTCCCTTAATAGTTGCTTTGGAAATTTTGTTCTCCAACTTCAAATTAATTTCTTGCCAAACCCTGAACCGCCCTGTATAAATTGGCAAATTATTTCGTCTGTTCATTAAAATCTATAGGTTCCATCACCACCCAGAAGGAAAAGAAGTTCTGTGGAGAGAGAGGAACGGTCTCACAAGCGACACAAAAGCAGTAAACATTCCCATCGACACAGGAGAAGTTCTGCTAGTCGGAATTACTCTTCTGATGACTAACCCCTTAATTCTTGTTTCCTTCTCTTGTGTGTGTGACTGTGTGTGTGTGTGTGTGTGTGTGTGTGTGTGACAGAGAGAGAGAGAGAGAAAACATGCAGGTTGAATGGTTGCCACTCTTTTATCAATTGTGATATATCTCTTGATGTGTTCACTGACTCTCACAAAATTGGCTACTAAAAATAATTTAATGTCTGATCTTTTCATGGCCATCCAAATCTTTGTAGCTCAGATGTACAATTGGCATTGAATAACTAATATTTAATAACAACAATTCAGAGGAATTAATAATTGCTATAGCAAACAACTCGAGTCCGGTGGATAAATAAATCTTTCTATTTTTCTTGAAAAAAAGTAGTATTTATATGTAGAGGGGGATTTTGGAGATATTATCAGAAATGTATTTCAATTAAGGGTTTGTCGGCTCGTTTCGCCAAGAGTAGGGATCTGAATCCTCTCCAATACAAAATCCTCTAAATAAGAGTGTCGTTACACCTCTTGTATCAAATGTAAAGTACTATTATTTCAAAGGTGTAGCACTTTCTAAATATTTGGGGTTGCCATAGTTAAATCCCCAATACCCTTATTTTGAAAGTATAATCTCTTTAAAATAGTCGTGTTGCATCTTCAAAATAAGTGATATTATGACACATCGAAACGTACACTATAAAATCTTGCATGAGAAAGGATGTGAAAGGAGTGTGTGAATCTTCTGTTGTAATCTCTCATGTTGTAGTGATATTGTATTGCATTGATCCTTTATTTTAATCTCTCGTATTGTAGTGATATTATACTATTTTCAACATGTAAATATGTTGAAAATAGATATAATGGTGTTGAAAAATCCTACAATACCGAAAATTTACTGTAGAGGATTTAGGCTCGTCGAAATAATGATATGAAAAGCTACATCAGTGCTTGGCTCAAGACTGAATTCAAAAATATTTTTAGGTCTTTATATGATGGCACTGTCAGGACTGTTTAAAGATCATCAAGTTTGTGTGCGGACTAGCTAACTTATGGTCGGTTCACTTCTGTCTTATTGCATGGACTATGACCAACTCTGAAAGCGTATGACTTTTTAGTGAAAGCAATATATAGACAAATCAATTGAAAAACAAAGAGAGCATTGCAATTCCTTCGACGAAAATGCAACTTTTTCTTCTTTAACGAACATGTAAATATAATGAGGATTGACTATACAAACAAGTATCTCAAGTTCCTAGTTACTATTGGTTATAAGTAGGGTTGGCAATTCGCGTTCACGGGTCATAGTTGTGTCGTGTCAATTTAAGAGTACTTTACTAAATTGCTCAATTTGAACATGAATATTAAACGGAATGTGTTCGGATTGAGCTATTTAGTAAAATGCCCTTAAATCAATACGACACGATTTGTAAAAACGAATTCCCACCCCTAATTATAAGTAGCTTGAGTAATGGAAGAAGAACCTAAACTACCAAGTGTTATAAGGAACAACTATAATGAAAAGGTCAAGCTAGGTGAAAATCGAGAGTGAACTACATTAATATTGCGTTTGAAAGCACTGAATCGATACTTTGGGTTTGGAATTAGAGAAAATTTAGTATAAAGTTTGAATTAAATTTTTTCCAATTTCAAATTTAAGGCACTGATTCAGTACTCTCAAATATAACATAAATGTTACAAGTTTGAAATGAAAGTCATAAACATAAATTAAGTTGAGTCTTGCATGGTGAAGATCACCTCACTTGATCCAACCATTTTTTTCTGGTCTTAGCATAGAATCATTAGTTTAAAAATGAAAAAGTAAAAAATAAAAAATAATGGTTATTTTGTACTCATTACATAACTTTGGTTGTTTGAGGTCCTCATCTAACCTATCGATTGAGCTAACTCTAAAGCTTCGAAATGATTAAACCATAGAGCATGAACCACCTTACAATAAAAAGTGTTTCAACTGAAGTACTGTTTGGCATTGGGACTTCCAAGATAAAATTTAAAATGTGTCGTTTCATTTACTTCTAGCTCTTTTAGCGCATGCAACTTTGACTTGTACATGCAATTTGAATTTAAATCACATACTTCATTTAAATTTTAAAATTTGTTTTTGTTTTTGTTTTAGGTTTAGGTAAAACACATACTTCATGTTGTCTCAAACCCCTCAACTTTCTATCTGAAATGGGGAAACTCTTTGATGGTCAAACCAAATATATGTAATTTAAAAATATTAATTATATATAATGACCATTAGTTTATATATACTATAATCTATAATATTGATAACCCATTGGTTATAAATTTTAGTTGTATCTAAATTGTTAGAATATTTGTTATGTTTTAAGGGAAAAAAACAAAAATACTATTCTTTCAAGGTACTTCTACCAGCTCCTAGCCAAGGCGAATTAAGCGGCCTAAGCCCCAACCACTAAGAAGCCCTCAATTTTATTGATTTCAATTCTTTTTCTTCACGCCCCAAAAAAATATTTCTTTACATATTATAACCTACCTAAAATTTTTATTTTCTTCTATTATTAAGCTTTAAGAAACAAAGAAATGTAATAGTGGGCCCAAAATATTTTTATCTAGGCTTAGTCCGTTTCGACGTAAAATATATTTATTTTTGAATTTTTTTTTTTTTTCAGGTAAAATATTCTTTTATTTTTACTTTTTCGGTATTTGGCAAATATTTAGGTTGAGGTTGAGGTCAAGTTCATTATGCGGGGCATGTAAAATAACTTGGATTATTAAATTTTAATATTTTTTTTTTTCATAAATATTTTACGACAACCAAACACCAAAAAAAATATATATCTTTTGAGAAAAAAAATTACATCCAAACAAACAGGGCCTTTATATCACCTTTTTTTCCTCCGTAAATAAGTATGAAATAAAAGAGAAAATTATACATTTTTTCTCTCTCTCATCCTCATTACACAAGGTACACACATGTATATTTCTCTCGTGGGAATTGGTGAAACTTTCTATATTTTTTAAGACTCTTATAAACTTCTTCTTTTTTTTTTCTTTTTTCTTTTCACCTTATTATTCTCATAATTTTCATCCTTTCTCATTTAAATATTTTTATTTTTAAAAAAATATATTTTTCACTCAATACTATTACAATTTACAATTTCACTATCTCATTACATCAGAAGATTTTGAATGCATTTTTATTGTGTTGAAGAATTTGTTGGAGCATTGAACTAAATTCTTCGAAATCAGTTTCAATTGTTCTATAATTTTAATTATTTTTGTGACGGCCCAAGTTTTATAAACTCGGTGCGTCAGTGATGACCAAAAGATAACCCGATAACGGATCCAAAATGCGAAAGCAATGGGTGACCAAAACGAAAGAAAGAAAAGGTTCTGAGGCATGGATGAGCGCTTGTCCAATGCCAAAGCACCCAGCGCTCGTTCGACACTCATCAAGGCTGAGCACCCATTCGGCACTCATCAAAGCTGCTCGTTCTCACCTACATGGTCAGGCGTTCGGACTTATGATCAAGCATTCGGACTTGCATGGTCAGGCGTTCTGACCTACATGGTCAGCATTCTGACATTCTGAAGGTTCAAGTGTTCAGACTTACATGGTCAGACGTTCTGACTTACATGGTCAGGCATTCTAACTGCCGAATGACAAAATAGAGTGCAAAAACTTGCCGAACGACAAAATAGAAAATTAGTTTAAGGCTATACATGCATTCCCAATTATCCAAAACAAGTTTAAAACATACGTGTGAACTTTAAAATTAATGGCCCTTAACCTTATGTTATACATACAAAATGAATGTCAAAAGGTGTGCTTATGCACATATTACATGATTAAAATCAAATATACACATTTTGACATATAAGGCTACAAGTGACATTTTAAGCTAACCTTCACAAGAATAGAAATCTTCAAGTCCATAATTCATCCAAGCATAACGAGAATCTCAACCTTGATTCTTGTACTTGAAAAATGACCTCGGTAACTTTGGGGTGAGTAACATAAAGCTACTCATAGGAGATGAGCATTCAAGGACCTAACGTTTTACAAAGTTATCACATTAATGCGAAACAACTCAAAAGGGTCATACCAACTAATGTCTATGTCAAATGTGAGACTCAGGAAACATCCTAAGTTACCTTAAATCATTCTTAGCATAAATCACATCATTCATGCAATTTAAATAACATAGAAACATGTTATACAAGGCAACAAGATATAGATTCTCAAAGTCATCAACTTGAAATCTAAAATGCGAAAACAACTAAAGTGGGTCATGCCACCTTACGTCTATGTTCTAAATGAATCTATAGGATCATTCATAAGTTACATTTGAACATTTTAACATAAATGTACTTGACAAAATCAAAATCTGCAGTGAATCATTAAAAATCAATATGTCTGAATGTACTTAACAATATCAAAACTGTGATGATTCATTAAAATCATAAAGCATAAATGTATTTAACAACATTAAAAACATGCGATAATCCTTTACAAATCATAATGCATAAATGTACTTAACAACATTAAAAACATGCAATGATTCCTTAAAAAATCATAATGCATAAATGTACTTAAACAACATTAAATTGCCCATAACCAAAACCACAAGTTACAATTAAACATTGGTTGTCAACTTGGAATTGAATGCGAAATCAAATAGTGGAAGATTTGGACATCAAATCTTGGATAAAGCCAAGACCTAAACGGTTATTCTGGACACTAACCCGCTGGGAATACCACCCTAGTGCGCACTATACAAAATGGGGAGAACTCGTACCTCCCGCACTAGAGCCAAACTCTAGTCATAAAAATCGTAACAATATCCCAAGTGACTCCAAAATCAAAAGAAATAAGTTCACAACTTATAAGCAATTTAAGTAATGCACGAAACTACCTTTCATACACAAGTAAGTTGAAACCACACAACACATGCTCTAAATCCACAACTACTATATGATGACAAATGTCGAATTTTCAGAGTGCGATTCGTTACACGCTATAACATCACATGTCAAATCTTAAGTGTGCGATTCGTTACACGCTATAACATTATTATTCAATATTGAAAACATAAACTGAAGAATCTAATACAAGTCCAAAATCATGGTTTAAACATACAACTAATATCAAACACATGATTAAATCATTAAGGCAATAAAAACGAAAATTAATTAAGTAAACTAATTAATTTCTCTAAGTTTTAAATCTCAATCAAATGATTCTCAATTAATATATGTTAAACAACATAGCTTTATCATTATATATATTCATTCAAAACCTTAATTAGGTCATTGGAACATTAAGGTAGAATTTAATTAAATCATGATAATTAAATCCCTAGATTCTAAAGCAACCTCAAATGGTCCCGAATTAATATATGCTAGTAAACAAGTCCTAGTTATTACAAATATCAAATTAAAAACTTAATTAAGCCAATAGAACCATTAAATAGATTTTAATTACTCCTTTTAATTAAAATCTCTACATTTTCAAACTCATCCAAATGCTCTCAAATTAAAGTATGTTAAAGAACATGCCAAGACTTAATTTAATAGCATATCACAAATTATTTCCATGCAAGGTACGACATGAGAATTAAACTTTCACAAAAGAAAAGTATTAAATAAAAAGTGCAATTCTTATTCAAATAATCCCAATTTAATATATGTTAACAAATATACCAAAGCCAAATTTTCTAACATGCTACAATTTAATTCTAAATTGTATATCATCATGAGAATTAAATCTTAAGTATAGAAAATAATTAAATTAAATTTTAAAACTTAAACAAAGCATGCATACAAGCTGTATAAACTTTTAAAATCATCAATACAACATTAATATAAACTTAAGACACCCCCTGCCTCAATTTGAGATGAAAATCTCAAAAGCCACCAAAATGAATCCGCTTCGAATTCGACGATACTTCGGGATTTTGTCGGGGACAACACAATAAACATGAACCTCAAGGAAGCCCCATCAAAATCACAACTTGACTTCAAACCCGAATTCAAAAAATGGTCAAAATGAGATTCCAATCAGTAGAATCGGAGGCCTCGCCAAGGCGAACATAAAACACTAAAGCACTACGGCGCTTCACTGAAGGGAAGAGGCTCAAAAGAGGAGAGAGAAGGTGGCAGCCAATGGCTGCCATGGAATCCGGCCAAGAGAGGGAGAGAGAGATAGAAATTTGATTTTTCAATTTAAAACCTCCTATTTATAGAAAAACTCAAAAAGTGCCCTGAACAGGGCCCGCCAAGTCCAAAAAAGTGGAATTCGCGCAGACGAATTCAAATGGTAAAACTTCGTGAACGAAAAAAGAACCAAAATGAGAAAAGATGAACAACAGAAGAAACGGCGTTAAAAACCGAGTTCCGAACAGAAAGATATGGCCCGAATAAGTTCGACGGCAACTAGGGTCAGAAACCCTAAAACTGGAGGAAAACGACCAAAAAGAAATTCTAAGAGTACACGGCTCGACGAAAAGTGAAAATGAATCCCGTGCGAGAATCCAAGCTCAAAACGAGGCATTTTTGCAATAACTTTCGTTAATTGCACAATGGGCCTACAAAAAGTGTTAACTGCACTAATGACCCAGAATGAGAATATCTTCCAAAAATATTTTCTTAAAAACCCCTGAAATAAAATATCTTCAAAAGATATTTATGAAAAACATTCCAAGAAAAGAAAATGTTTCTGAAGAACTATGCATTAATGCTCCTATGACACTGGGAGCAACTAGAGTACTTTTCTGTAAAAGTAAAGATACGTATTTCGTGGAAACCACTTAGAATGAAGGTACGTGAAGTCGGAAATCAACTTCGAGCACAAAAGGTGAGGCTATGCCAACAAAGTGACAAATGGAGAAAAGACAAAATAGGGAAAATGACGAAAAATGAAGTGTCAAAAAAGTGAAAATATGGAAATGACTCGATCTTCAAAGGAAGTTGTCAATGCAAAGAAAAAAGGTCTTGAAAACCATCCCCGAGCACTCAAGATGACACTAAGTGCCGAGAAACCGAACTCAAAAAAGAAAAGATCAACGGAAAAAAAAATCCGTGAAAATCTGAGACAAAAGAAAGGAAGGAAAATGACCGGTTTATTACAATTTTATAGTTTTATTATTTAAAAATTATATATTTTGCTTGTGAGTTATCACCATATTTATTTATATTGTTAAATGTGTCTACAATAGCACAAACCAATTAACTAATGATAAAACTATATATTGAAAAAATCTTAGTGCGAAATTAAAAATCACGAAACAATTAATGAGCGTATTCACTAACACGAACATATGGATATCTTTTATTAAAAGGCCACTTTATTTTTTTCACCTAAGACCTTAAATTATATTAAGCCGGCCCGCCCCTTGCCTAACTCTCTAAGCAAGTGTGCCGATGTTCGAGTCCCCCACCCTTAGTTTGCCAAGATTTTTTTTAAAAGGATACTTCTATTAAAAAACCGTAAAATGTTACAAAATAATTCTTTCTTTGTCCCATATTATTAAAAATTTTCAAAAATTAAGGAAAGAAAAAAGGGAATAGGTTTTATGATATAAATCTGATTTTTTTCAATAAATCAAGCCAATCCAAACCTAAGGGTCAGATGTTCAAACTAGTCCTAATCTCGTTTAAACACATAACAAGCCAATATAATCTAGAATTGCATGAAATAATAAATAAATAAGTAAACCTGAAACAAAAACAACTCCATTCTTCATATTTTTATCTATTTAGCTTAGCAAAATGATTTAAATTTATAAGGAGCTCGTAGTTCAATGTTGTTTTTTCTATTTTTAAAAAATAAAAGATTGAAAGTTTAAGTTTTCAAATGAACAAAATTGGCCGGTAAGTCATTGCCAAAAACAAAAAAATATATATTGAAACTATTTTTTTTTTTAATTTTTTATTTTGGTGTAAGAATTATGCTTCTAAATTTGGTAGGAATATAATAGGTGCTTGAAAAATATCATAACACCATTCTAGCAAGATATTATTTGATTTAGTTTTTGTTTTCAGATAATAATTCTTGTTTCAAAAGAAAAATAAAAGAGGAATGTTCAAAATTCTCTTTTGTCAAATGCATCTTTGAAAGCAATCATATGAGAAGTGTTAAAATAAATATTTATTTGGAATATGCCTATTTTTTATAAACTTAAATTTTATTTTAACTTTTGAAATTACTACTACTGAGGTGGGGAAAAATGGGATGTGATTTTTTAAATTAAAACCAAATGCAAATTTGAAATTTCATATATATGTTTATTTCTAACAAAATAAATACTCAAATTTCTCTCCCACAAGACCGTTATAGCATAATAGATGTCCAATTTTGTCAATTTCCATTTGGATATATTTTTAAAAAATATAAGATAAATTGTTATAAAGGTATTTAAGAGATTAATGTCTAAGCAGGTTCTCATTTGTATTTTTATAAACTTGAGGGGGGTTTAGTGAATATTAAGAGATATATATATATATATATATATGTATATAGATATGCAAGGTAAAAAGGATACAAGAGAGATGAAAAAGTGCACTTATTTCTTCTTATTATTGTATTTACACTAGTAAAAAAAGGTAAATTATTTTTATGAAGAGTTAAAAAGAAAATAGAATTATTTTTTTATCACTTCATTTGCAATGGGTGCTGTAAAAGGGCATTTTATGATCCTTTATTTGTTTTCAGGGTATCGATCCTGTGGCATTTCAAAAACTTCAGGGACTTAAAACGAGAAATGAAGTATATTTTATTTTAAATAAATAAAAAAGATAAAATAAAATAATTTACACGCTCTATTACAGCTACATCTTTCTTGCAGAAATCGCACGCAGAGAGGGGGAAGTGGCTTCTTTCTCGACAAACGCTATTATTTTCTCTCCTAGAATCTGCTAGCCATTGTCGTTCTCTCCCTCCTAGGATTTTCAAATTCTTTTGAGGTTGCCTCGTTGACTCCATATACAGTATTTTCTATTCGATTGTATGTCTGTGTTTTTTTTTTTTGATAAGTATGTCTGTATTTTATTTACGTGTGTGTATATATATATATATAAGTTTCCATTTTTGTGATTCTTCTTTTGTTTAGTGTTCAATTTCTTTGATATTATATTCTATCGATGCATAGAGATTAGTTGTCTTCCTTCATTTCTTGTCAATTGTCTTTTGCTTCTTATTTTTTTGAGGATTATTTTTAATGATATAACAACGCTATTGAAATTTTGAAGTTAAATTTTCTTTTGTTGGACCAGCCAGAAGGTGAATTATCCAGAAAATTATATTTTTTTCCTTTTATATTGTCTTGCTGAATTTTAATTGGAGATTGGAATATGATTTGGGTAATATGTGACTTGTTAGCTTCTGATTGGTCGAAAATCAGTTTAGAGCAATTTTTGCAAATAATTAACACCATGCTGTTGTGTAGATAGTAAGCATTCAAGCTAGATGAAGAATTAAGGGTAATGGTGTTTATTGTGTATGTTGGTGATTTTATATATATGTATATTTTTAATTTGTATTTTAATGGTTGATCATATTACTTGCTGGGTTTGTTCTGACTGTATTCTATATTTTTCTGCTTCAAGCATGGATGATAATCTAAACGACGGGGAGACCTTGAATGCTCGGATTCAACAGGTGGAACGTGGTAAGTACATTGTTTCTCTTGCACATTAATTTAGTCCTAGAATTTGCCATCAGAGATGGGGTTATCAAGAATCTCATGTTGCTTAGGTTAATCATTTGTCATACTTAACAACTTCAATGTGAATAGATTAGTAGCTGGAAAACGCCGTGTAATTATCACTAGCTGATCAAGAAAAGACACATTTAGATCATTGAACTCCTTTTATGTACTTAAACCCACAGGCACATGTGCACACATTTTTGTCTCAAATTGAAAAAAAAGAAAAGAAAAGAAAAATATCACTGAAGAGAAGGAAACAAGTGGTCCATGCAAAGTGTGCTCGCCGAGAAGAGCGTTGAGTACCAATAATCTCTTTCTAGAACATGTGCAAAAAAGCACATGGGAAAACATGATTAAGAAATAGAAGATAATTAAAAAGAAATTACTCTGTGTGAAATTGCACCACCTAAAATGCTCTCTCTACATCAGAAGGTTTTTTCTTCGGTTTCTCAGCTTTCCATAGATACCATGGATGGAAGCATGGGTATCCTTAAATAGTGGCACTTTTTAAGCCCGAAGCCCCCGGCTTTCCAGCTACACAACTTAAAACACGTTTATTTTGGGGCAACCCTGAATCATGCCAGGTCTCTGAATGAACGAGTACTATTTGAAGTATGACAAGAGGCAAATTCAATATCATACTCTGATATATAAACTGCTTTGCACAACACATACCTATGGGTAAGGTACAATATTCTAGAATCAAATTGTCGACTGTAATTATATTGTCCAGAATTGCAGTCTGGACAGTGAACGGGGCTCTTGGTTGGTGTTTACAGCTAGTTTCCAAGCGAACTCTTTCTTCAACAAGCTGCACCTTGTGGCCTAATGTATTGAACACATTATGTGTGTTGGGCATGTTACAGAATTTTTTTCCCATTGGGAAAGTGGTGGACACGGACATGATACAAACACGAATGCATTGACATGTTGAATACTAAAAAAGTAGGACTGGATACGGCGTAGATACGATTATGTGTAAATATAATTTTTTTTATTTATATACATCTATCGACTAAGACTATTATAGAACTTAAATAAATGCTTGGCCTGTTATAAGTGGTATGAGAGCTAACTCAATCCCTTATTTAAGTCATGCTAAGTGCCCAATCGGAGGTGTACGGGTCCGGGTCATTACTAGGTCTTACCGCTATTAGGGTGGACATGTAGGCAAGGTGGTCCGACCGCAACAAGGACATTGTGAATTCGGGTGGGGGAGAATGTCGCAACTCACAAGGGTCTGATCTCACATCGAATATGAATGGGGAGGGTCTTGGACTTATAAGGGTGGGCAGGCAGTGCCACTTAACAACTCAAGCATTTGGGTCAGATGGCAAGCGCCCAACCCATTACAAGAGGCATTACAGCCGAACGGGTCCTTTGTCCAAGCCGTTTATTTTTGCACTAAATGGTGACTAGTATTTTGTGGGTCCTTTTCTTCTCTTTGGAGTCCATTAGGTTACGCCACAATAAGCTTTTATCATCTTGTCTTGCCGGCAAGAGTGTAGAACGAGTAGGACACGGTGCAGAGCATTAGGTGTCTCTGCTATGCTTCTAGTGGTGTATATGGAGAAAGAGGAATTGATGTTCCTTGGCGAGGTTGCTTATTTGAAGCTGAAGCATTTAATCTCGAGCTTCTTGTTATTTTAGATATTGGGAACTCTTGCCTAATTCTTCTATTGATTTCGTGGGAGATATGATTTCACAAAAACTGTATTGCCCAATTCATCGGATGTACATAGTTTAGCCACTTCTGGTATCGGCTAGTGATCTTTTTTTTCTTATTATAGAAATAAAGACACTAGAATCACTATCCAATTCGAATTTGGGGTCTTTTGATGCTGTCATATTAAAACTTCCATGTTTTCAGGGAAATCCCTCTAAAAGAAGGAAAAGGAAGATATTTGAAAACATCAGTCATCATTGCAGATGCCTCTTTTTAAGTCACATCATTATCATCATCATCCTTGCCTTTATCCCATATAAATAGGGTTGGCCACATGAATTTTCTTTTTCCATTCTTTCCTATTACATACCATGGCCTCTCTAATTTTAGATTTTTCATGTCATTTTTAATTATTTCATCCCATGTGAGTTTTGGCCAGCCTCTCTCGCTTACCTTCTACACAAACAACTCTTCCTCTTTTTATAGGTGCATCATTGAGTTTACGTTGAATATGACCATACCATGGTACCACCTAAGTCTACTTTCCCTAATTTTATCATTTATAGGCGTTATATGTAGTGTTTCCCTCACACGTTTGTTATTTATCTTATCTCTTCTAGCGCTGCAAATGAACCGAGCTGTTCATGAACAGCTCGGGTTCGGCTCGTTAAGGGCTCGGCTTGGGCTCGTTCATTAAGCAAACGAGCCGAGCTCGAGCCCAATTTCTAGGCTCGTTTACTAAACGAGCCGAGCATGAGCAATGTTGGGCTCGGCTCGCATAGGCTCGTGAACATGGGCTCGTTAAAGCTCGTTAAGGCTCGTGAACAAAGCTCGTATCAGGCTCATTATATATATCAGGCCCATTCTATATATATCAGGCCCATTTGTTTTTATTGTACATTTAAAATGTTTAGTCCATATTATTTTTAAGTTTGGCCCAACTCATATTTTTCATTAATATGGCCCAAGCATTATAACTCACTAGCCCAAAGAAAATCCACCATAGATCCATAGCCCAAATAAGATTTTGTCTCACCCATTAAATTAGAACCCATCTCATCTGTTGATTTTGTAAGATATCAAAAAACCCTAAAACTACACCCCACCATTCAGATTTGCCTCTTCTCCACAACATCGTCAGTCTCTCTCTCTCTCTATCACTCACTCACGAGTTACGAATCAACTCCACCGGCGACGACAACCCTTCCATCTACACAACTACCTCTCTGTCTCTCTTAGATCTGAACGCATTGTCTGTCATCGTCATCGTCGACCGCTGTCCTCTGTCTTCGCCATGGACGTCGTCCGTTTCCCGCCATCGTCTGTGCCGCTGTCCCTCCATCCTCGTCATCATCGTTGGCCATCCTCTGTCCTCGCCATCAATTAGGTACTGCATCAATTAATTTTTTGGCAAAACTTTATTTTCACTGTAATTCCATGGATCTGGACAACCTCAAAACATTCTTTAGGCAATTGCAGACAATTTTGTTTAGCCTTTTCTTCTGCTTCTTCTAAATTTATGGAGACTATTGCTCAATGGCCATAGGTAGCTAAATTAATTTATCTCCAACTTATTTTCCTCTATGATTTCTTTTTCTACTTAATATATACAATGTTTCAGTGGTTCTATAGATATTATTATCATAGGAATTTATAACTTTTTGATGTGTTGTATTTTCATAGAAAATGCATAATGCACTCATGCTCAATTTTGTCCTTTTTTCTTTTTTTGAAATTAACTCTTAATTTGTTCTTGAAAGATAAAAGCTTGCACTACTGCACCTTTTTTTTTTTTTTTGCCCTTTTTCTTTTTGCTTATGTGATAATTGATAAAGCAATGGAAAAAGGTATTGTGGCCTGTAGAATACTAATTAATTTTGAATTTTTTTTTTTTTTTTTTGTTAAACGAGCCGAGCCCGCGCTTTTAAAATCAAGACGAGCCCGAGCCCGAGCTCAAATTTTTGAGCTCGTCACGAGCCGAGCCTGAGCCCTAGCTGATCCCATAAACAAACGAGCCGAGCCCGAACAGCCTAAAGCTCGGCTCGGCTCCTTTGCAGACTTAATCTCTTCTAGTCCTATCATCCAATGTAGCATCCTCATTTCCGGTACATGGATGTGTTGTATTTGTGTCTTTCCTCAACGCCCATCCTCTTTATAAGTCACATCAAGTTGATTATTGTTAAAGATATGGTCATAACTCAGGATATTTCAGTTTTGAGTTTAAGAGCAACTACTTCGTTAAAATAATGCCAAAAATTAGGTCTGTCTTCATTCTTCTCTGGCCAACACCTTGTGTAAGCGGGACAGTATAATGCACTTTTTATATGATATGTTTCTCACTTTTGTTTCTTTTTTCTAGTGGTAAATTCACAACTCTGCTTCTACCCATTACCAAAAACCTTTGTTAAACAAACATTTCAAGCCAATGTCTGAACTATATGTATCTTTTTACCACTAGCACTTACCCATTCTGGAACCTTATTATTATTTTTTTTCTTGTTCTTGATCTGACTTGGCATTTTATAATCTACCTGATTGGCCAGACTGAATCTATGATGAAAATGTACCACATTGCATCGGACTTTTACAAGCTTATTGTGCACATGCTTTATAGTAGATTTTACAAGTTCTGCTTCCCAGATACAATATTCCCTGGATTGCCACCTGAGCTGGTTCTTAGTATATTCTATCTTATTGTTTTTGATTGATGTGTTGATTATTCTGTTTTGTAGAGCGTGATGAATTGCGTAAAGATATTGAACAATTGTGCATGCAACAAGCTGGACCTAGCTACCTTGCTGTGGCTACTCGAATGCATTTTCAGAGGTATAAGATTTATTTCAGTTCCTTGCAGTCTTCATTCATCATTAATTTATATTTTGGTTAAGAGTGGGTGGATATTGTTTTCTTTCTTCTTCTTTTTTAAATGGAAACAACACATAAGAATGCATTGTATTGGTATTAATTCTATGAGGTCAGCATTCCTCATTAATTTATTTTTCAGTTGGGAATGGGTGAGTATTTTTATTTATTTTTGGATCTGGCAATAAGAGTATCTTGTATTGAATTTAATTCCCAATTAGGACAGCTGGCTTGGAGCAGGAAATTGAGAACTTGAAAAAGAAGTTAGCTGCTTGCACAAGGGAGAATTTTAATCTTCAAGAGGAGCTTTCGGAGGCTTTCCGTATAAAAGTGAGGTTCTTTGCCTTTCCCTCAACATGACATGAACATTCCTTCTGCCAACATCCTTACATGTTTCTTCTTCTGTCTCCAGAGCCAGTTGGCGGATTTACATGGTGCAGAGGTTTCAAAGGTCTCTCTCTCTCTCTCTCACTCTCTCCGCGCATGCATGCCCACAATGGAGTTTTGCTAGGAACTAACTTATGCATCATTGACATTTTTTGCAATTATAGCCATCTAATCTGAATCATCCCATCAAACATTGAAGTAGGCATTTGGATCAGTATCAACTGCCAAAAGTAGGAAACAAACTATAAATTCGGTTTCAGAACAATGAATTATATAACAAGCTAAACTTACTTGGAACTTTGGAAGATTATGTTCTACGTAAAGCTGTTTGTACTTTTTATTTATCGCCTGTGATTTCTTCCTGTGTTAGCTAGCCTGATTTAGTCTTACATTGCCTTGTCTTGTGAGAAGGTAATGAGGAATAATGATTTCTCTAGCAGTTCCTTGAGTCCAATTTTTTACCAGTTTAAACTCTTGGTTACCTGTTATGTTCTTGTAACAATTTTATCTGATAGCCGAGTATAATAATATTGAAGGGTGGAAGAATGGTTGTAGGGTTTGTAGGTGGGAAGGGATTGCAAATGACTTGGTTTTAGAAGTGATCTGTTGTAGAACTGGAATTTTCCGGACAGCAATCTATTAAGGTTGTTGGTGTTAAATAAGGCCGAAAGTAAGTGACTTAATTAAGGTTAGGCAGGATAAGGACTTGAGGATGAAATGGGGGCTGTTTTGGGACTCCATTAGTAACCTATTGATGGAAATAAGGGGGAAGCGTAGGTGTCTGGATTCTAGGGATATATTTTAAGAGTTATTTTCTTATTTTTAGGGATTTGATGTCCCTCTTGATTGAATTTGATAATTTATTTATCTTTTGCTTTATCTGGGATTTATCTCTTCTTGTTTTATTGCTGTGGGTTTGCCCATACAAGCCTTTATTATGATGGGAAATTATTACTAATATTGGAGAAGTAGTAGAAGTATAAACTTCTCATCTCTTTGACCATCTCTCTCTCTCTCTCTCTCTCTACATATACACTCACTCATATCTCCTCTTTGTCTTTTGTCTCTCCTTTTTCTTTCTTCTCCTCCTCTTTCTTATTTCCTCCTCTTATATCAATTGGGATCAGAGAAACTTTAAATCCATTCTTTTTCTTTCTTAACCTCTACTTCTCTACTTCTTTTATCACCTCTATCTCTTTTCTGGTTTGCTCCTGCTCTCCTTTTCCTCTTCCATAACTCTCACCTTGCTCTCAATTCCCTTATTTTTCTATTTGTTCCTTTCTCCTTTTCTCCAATCTCTCATCTATTCATATCTCTACTTATTTCTATTTCATTTCTCTGTTTATATCATATGGAATACTTAACTTTTGGCCACTGTTTTATCTTTGTATTTGCTTTTATCATATTTAGGTCTTTCCATAGCTGTGTATTGAGTGAGTGCACTGAGTGGTGGTTACAATCTTGAACATCAGCAGTCGTAATGTTACAGAATCACGTGCGCGCACACACACACATATACAATGGGCAGAAAATACGCACACATGGACACACATATCTAAGATTGGGAGAGAGGGAGATGGCCCAAAAACAACAACAGCAGCAGTCACAATATTGTACATGGTCGTTGTCAATCTCTACAATTCTGACATCGTTCCTGATCATGAAAACTACTTTAACAAGCGGGTTTCATCACAAACTTGGAGATTGGATTTGCTTGTCTATATCAGTTTGAGTTACAGATAATGAAAGCCCAAACTGTTACCTGCATGTTGATTAAGGCTCTTGTGATAAAGCCTTCCCCATATTTCAGCCTTTTCTCTTTTTAATTCCAGAACGAGTGCAAAAGGAGGAGCAGTATCACTGCCATAATTCTCCAGAAGTGAATGTGTCAGAGATAATTGATGGGGATCAAGATGGGACATGCATACCGTGCATGACTCACACCTATGTTACGCTTGGATGCCTGAAGAAGAATTTAGGATTTTCACCTTGAGTTTCTTAATCTTCACCCAGTAAGGTTCAAGTTCCATCACAAGTCATAAGAAGCATTTTTTAAAGTCTCAAATGTCAAATCTATCATGCATTAATAATTTATATGCTTCTGGGCTTCTTCTACACTTTCTAGGATTGGGACTCTAAATTAGGAAACTTAAAAACTTTGACTGGTAACATTTGAGACCTACTACAGACTGCAGATAGGGACCCAATAAAATGACCCAAATAAGACTTGTGGACTATTGTTATGGCCTATATTCAGCAAAGTTGGAAAACTACCAGAATATTCTCGAATGTTTAAATATAAGAAAGCATAAACAAATTTAAGTTAACATTATATTAAAAATAGCAGCAATAGATTATAGAATTATACATATTGAACCAAACGTGATTAGACGGTTTAGAATTTAAAAGCGGTTCCATGTGAAACAGATGATCTGCCGCCCATTTTCTTCTTATGAAGCTCTGCATGAATGATCCAACCTGTGGCTCCATTTTTTTTCCTTTTCTTTGGTGTTTGGGGGGGGGGGGGGGGGGGGGGGGGGGGGTGTGCACGGGCAAGATAACTGATGATTGTCTTCTAAGAGTCTATATTTGACTTGTCCCTAATATTTTGGTTTTTCCCAGAATATTGAAGCAGAGAAGCAGGTTAAATTTTTCCAAGGTTGTGTTGCTGCCGCATTTGCCGAACGGGATCATTCAATAATGGAGGTTATGACAATCTTCTTCTCCTCTTTTTTTGGTAGTTCACTTTTTCTCCTCTTATTTTCAACATTTTAAGGCAAGGAGCTATTGCTTTGTGCAATGGAGAAGCTTGGTTTGTCAAGTGTTGAAACACGTGGTTGGATCTGAGGCAGCCAATTCCTGTGAATGAAGCCTAAGGATTGGTTTGCTCCTACTTAAACCCTCCGATCATCTCGATTGACATGATGGACAGTGGCGTGGCCTTTTCTCGATTTCGATCAATTGGAACAACACCATTACTAATACAATGAGGAAATTTAGTATATTTAAATTTTGTTTACTGATTTTGGTGTGTGTAGTACTTTTAAGTGATTTTTGTCACCCTAATCATTATAAGGTTTGAATGTGACTGGTTACAGGCTGAGAAAGCTAAGGAGAAGGAGGAACTCATTTCAAATAAATTTAACGATTCCCAGAAGAGGTACTCTTCCAAATAATTTGGTGTTGATTATCCTATATTCATATTTGATTATTTTCTAAACATTTGAATAAAGCTGCTAATTAGAAGTAATGTTTGTCCCGTTGCAAAGAAATGATTATATTCGCCCATTGTCAAAGAAAATGATAAGCATTTTAGAAAAATGAAAGAACTTCAGAAATATATTTGATTAGTGGTTTTTGACTTGGGCCGACTGTTTGTTCTCAGGGAGCTTAATTTTCTCTGAAAATTGATAAAACAACTTCTACGTTTCATCTTTAGCAATGAGCAGTTTCAGGAGTCACCGCTCAAAGATCGTTCTTGTCATTGAATCAATCACATGCTGATTGGTTGAAAGTAAAGTGCGGTTGTCAATCAAAAGAAATAAAAATAAAGGAGGAGAATTATGATGACTATGATTGCAGAATTGAGATACAAGTAGATAAGTGCCTTAAGACCCTATAAACATTATCATGAAAATGGAAAGGGCCTATTTCTTTATTTTTCCCTAAATAAAGGGCCTATTTATTGTTTGTACTGTTAGTGGTATCAGCATGATGATGGAAGTCAAATTCTTATAGAAGGCATTTTTTGAACTTCATTTAATCTTACTACACCTTCATGATCATCATCCTTACGATGGTCTCATACGAATGGTGTCGTGCACATAAGTTCTCTATTTTGGTGTAGTTGGTAAAGCTTGGAGTTCAGGCTTGTACCCAATCAAATCATCCATGCATTTTTTATTGATAGGATAAACACTAGGTAATGGTGTATGATGTTCAAATAAATCATTGTAGTGTACAAATTTCTTATTGGAAGAGGAGATTTTTTCATTTTATTTGTGTAACTGTGATTTTTTTTGACAGATTTTGACAAATTGAGAAAATAAATGGAAAGAAAATAAGATTTAAAAATCTTGAAGCAAAAATCATGAAATTTCTATCAAATTGGTCATAAATGTTCTCATTGCATTAATGTTTTGATTTTTTGACTTCCACATTTCACTCTCTGGGAGGGGGAAAAAAACTCCATATCTGACTTGAGAAAGTGGCTGGCGTTTATAGCGTTGTCATTTATATACGCACACATAAATGCCTGCATTGAGGCTTGAACCTTCAACCTCTCCCTTGGGTAGGTAGAGTGACAACCACTCAGGCCAAGGCTTTGGTTGTAGGTTGTTGTGTTCTGACTCTTCCTTTGTACATTTAAATGATTTTTACCTAAAATTCCACAAGCTTACCCTGATTAGTTAGTTTCAACTTTCGAATGATTGAGTATATATAAAAAGGTAAGATGTGAACTAAAAGGCCACTACTCAACACCGATCTTGCACATGTGGGATGTTGGGTGGGGAGACCAGAGATATACCCATCTTTTGGCATTATTTTGCACTAGCTCAAACCTAAGCCATGTCCTTACACTTGTCATTCCACATTTTGGGAAGATGTGAATGACTTCCGTAATTCCATATTAAGAAACCTTGAAATATCAATTGCTGGAGAATGTGTTTGACATCTTCATGGCTGTCAAGGTATGGATAACTTTCTTAATGAGCTGAGTTGCATTAGGATGCTTTATGGTCTTTCTGTTCTGGACCACTACCAACTGTTAGCACGAGTCTTTTAGGGTTCAAATTATGATTGGGACACATGCAGTGAACACACACACACACACACATATACATGCAATCCTTTTTTACTAGATCATTTTATTCTGTGTTGGTTGGAGATGTGCAGGCAACTTTGCTATGTAACATTATTTAGAGTCATTTGAGTGGTTTTTAGGTTATTTTTTTGAAATTTGCTTTTTTTTTATTTATTTTATTTCTAGGAAGTGTTTGATTCATTTTTGTTTATTTGTGAACTGGGTGTTGATGTGATGGACCAGTTGCTCCTGCTTTGCTTCTTTGTTTCCATTAATTATGCCCTTGTATTTTCTAGTTCCGGTATCTACCAGTCCTTGGCTAAAAGGGTTGAAGATACCTGCAGTGGCAGAACGGAGAGGGGCTTTTGAATGGTTCTTTATGGACTTCGGTGGTTTAGTATAAAAAATAGACTGAATTTACTGTTAGCTTTTGGTAGTTTTTGTTTTTAGCCCTGGAGTGAAAATATTTCGCAAATAGTTTTGCCACATCACTTCTTAGTATGGTCATTGCATATTCCAGTGCTGGAATCATGAGTTTTTGTGCTGGAAGCAGGTTTGTGGTGCATCTTTTTTCCCAGAAGAAAAGAAAAAAGAAAATAAAATGACAAGACAATTCAATTCATGAGAGTAGTGTACTTTAGTATATCTTATTTACAATGGTTGCCAATGGATTGTATTTCTTTTTATTGATGGAGACACATTATATTGGTGAAGCAGGGTAGAAGAGCTTACCTTTGATTTGTTTGAAGAAAAGAAACTCACTGCCACACTAGAGATTGATCTAGAGGAGCAGAAACGGCAGAATGAGACTTTCAAAGAGGTACTTTTTGGGTGTCATCTTGTCCTCTTCAGGAGGCCATATTATACTCTTTTGATGCTTAACACTTAGCGGTGAGATCATATTAAAAGCTTTATAGAAAAAGCATGCAGAAATTCCTCAAAAGCATAACACATAATGTAACACTTCATCTGATATCCCTCTGTCTCAAAGGATACAATAGTGTCATGTGTGAAAAATAAATGGACTACTAGCAGAGAATCTCCCTTGACTATCGCCATCTCAAACCCCCTGAAGTTACCTGCCTTCGCTGCAACACTGCCTTAGATATCATTTTGCTAAAAGTTTCCATCGCTAAAATAGCAAGAAGGGGAGGAGTGTCTCTAGTGTAAGGCCTCTCTATCAAGCTACTAATCAAATTGGAGAATCATAATAGAAAGGCAAATATCTTCTGTTGGTCACACCTAAACGGAATGTTGGGAGAAGAAGGTTGGAGACAGACTTAAATTTTAGCATTATTTTTGCAGAAAATGGTTGCTTTCGACTAACATTTTCTTGCTTGTCAACCCGAGCTTTTACCATTGCACCAAGCAATGACCTCTAGAATCACATTAGAAATATTGAACTTAATGTACTTCCTCCACTTGGTTGAAATTTATCATCTCCGTTCTCCAAAATATGTGACAAAATGCTTGCACTGTAGAGATCAATAAATTTTAATTTGTTTCAACGTATTGATATTTAATATGATACATTGACAATTACAACTAAATAAAGGTTGCTTTATGAGGCTCCGATATGAAGTTTTTAGAATGAAAGTAAATATTAATGATATTTGTAAAGGAATTGTATAATTATGCAATAACAGAATGTAACAATATGTTTAAAATACAAAATAATAGGATTATAGATTCTTATAATATTCTTTAATTGGTAATAAAGCATGTTTTTCCACCTCAGTATTAGTTGTTAGAGGGCCCATTTCATTTTTTTAATCCAACATTTCACAGAAAATTCTCATTTCCCGTATTGGCCAATGTGTTTCTCATCCTTGTGGTGTGTTACTCTCTCACTTTACCCTGTGTAGTCCAAATCCTGGAACTCAATTTAATTTTCTGACTCTATGAAAAAGTATACTTGCTTCCACTTCTATTAGTTCTGGCATATATTAATTTTTTTTTTTTTTTTACAGGTTATTGACAAGTTTTATGAGATCAGACAACATTCTCTAAAGGGCTTTCTTGAGGATACAAGTTGGGAAGATAAATGTGAGTGTCTTCTGCATGATTCAGCAGAAATGTGGAGTGTCAATGATGATGGGGAAACTTCTACCTCTAAGTACATCGTAAGTTTGTTACCCTTTAAGTTCTTCTTTATTTCGTGTGATTCTTCATTTATAATTATTTGTATAAGCATTTCTAGATATAATGATGCTTGATGTACTTTTCAAAACGTGTTCAGATTGGTTACTGGTATAAATGTTAATAAAAAAATGCCATTTTATGAAAGTACTCACTAGTCGCTGTAGTTTATTGAATTTCCTGATTTCTCTGTATTTTGACATTTTCTTGCTCCCACTTGTATCTAGATAGTATCCAAGTCACCGCCATGGTTAAAAGTTGTTACAAGCATACGTGAACAAATGTTTTTATCATTGATTTTTCGATTTAATCACAGATATCGTCATTCTGTTTCTGACTTTTAATTGGAAAGTGACGGTGAACATGTGTTTGTAACTTTTCAATTTGAGAGAATACTCAATTTGTCCTGAGCTCTCTTACTTCTGGGAAATGCAGCTGCGCATATGAAAACTTTAAAGAAAAAGAAGGGTGTATACAGAAGCCCTCATGTAATATTTTAAGTATCAATAGTCCAAGAAGGTTATTATTCCAAATATTGGTCTGTTGATTACTATAATTAATTTTTTATGCACATTTTTTTTAGCAGAATTTATTATGTGCTTGAACTTTCTGGAAGTTTTATCCATGCGGTAGCCCTTTTTTTTTTTTTTTTTTGGTTTGTCCCCGTTATGAAAGTTATGTATTATGCACACTTAGGGCTGCAAATGAGCTGAGCCGAGCTTTAGGCTGCTCGGGCTTGGCCGAACTTAGCCTAGCAAGGCTCGGTAAATTTTTGACGAGCCCGAGCAAAGCTTGGCTCGGGCTCGTATGTTGAGATGTGTGTGTGTGTGTGTGTGTATACACTATCCATCAAATGGATCGAGGAGAACCATTTTGAAACAGAAAAATGTCACTATCAATTCACATGTTAAACACTCATCTTCTCCATTCTTCAAAATCTCCTTCACTAGCTTCAAGTTGATCAATGTTTGATTTATCAGATTTATGAATAAATATTAAACGAGAGAGAGGGGGAAGAGATAGACCTAACCTGATGTCACATTAGGAGTAGAAGACAGCTGCCTGAGGAGTAGAAGGATGTTGCACTGACTGGATTTCCGTTGCCGCCAATTGGATTGGAGAAGCCGTTGCAACATCTTGCGGCTACTTTTACGGTTTCTTTATCTAACCCTTAAAGAATTATAAGTTCGATCAAATGGCCGAGACGAATCTGTGATTAGTTAGTGGGCTACTTAATTAGATGGGCTTCTAAATGCCCAAATACTAAATGGGCTAATGAAAATATACTTCTATGAATTTGGGCTGGAATTATATATATGGGCTAGTTTTAAAATATAATAATTTATATTATAAATATCTATATTTATGTAAACGAGCCTGCTCATGAGCTCACGAGCCGAGCTTAACATTGTTCAAGCTTGGCTCGTTTATTAAACGAGCCTAAAAATTGAGCTCGAGCTCGGCTTGTTTACTAAACGAACGAGCCCGAACCGAGCTTTTAACGAGCTGAGCCCGAGCTGTTTATGAACAGCTCGGTTCATTTGCAGCCCTATGCACACTTCATGGAACTCGTGTCAGATTTATGAATGCCACTTCATCTTCTGCTGTGTTCTAGGGAGAGGATGTTTTTATTTAATACGAGTCCTCCAATATAAAGTACTATGGTTATTGTGAAATATCCATGTAAGAAAATGAAGATTTTAAGAAATTATTCGGGAGAGTTCCAGCAGATTAGAAATATGATCCTCTCTTTTTATGGTTGGTGCATTGCACATATCCTGTATCCATCATTTCATTGGTGTGGTAGTGTATAGTTCAAAAAATTTGAAGTAACCATGTAGCAAGACAAAACTTTTAACTTAACATCTCACTCTTTATATAAATAAAATTATTTAAAACTAATTTATTTGCTTCCCTCTTCTTTTTCTTTAGTTGTTGAAAAAAGCGATGCATGTATTGTCTGTAGAGTGAACTTGTAGAGGGAATGAGGTAACGACGGGCTGATGGCATCCTTTGACTATGACAAGAAATATAATTCAGATCTGTCATGATAGGACCTGTCTCTGTTTCATTGATGTTGGCACCCAGAAAATATATTGGTATTGCATTCTGAATGACCTTGGGCCAATGGATGTGCATCATGTCATGTAAAGTTCAAAACAATTGAACCTTTCTGCTTTGATAGAAGTACAGAAAATGCTATAATACAGTGCATAAGAACATGTTCCTTGCTTCCTTAAGAGTTCACCTAATAGGTTCATTAGTTCTACTGTTGGTGTTTATCGTAAGCTGTGTTGATTGTCCGTTCAGCATGTGTTAATAATTTTTTTTTTGTTTAGGTTTGTGAACCTTCTTGTGATGTACAATATCTCAACTAAATGGATTTTACTCCTAGGTTGCATTATGTTTAACAAGCATTCCCAGATTGCCTTAGAGTCTTCGAGATATAAAGATCATTTTCATGAAAAGTTTAACAAATTCAGTTCCAAGGGTTGCAATATTTTTCAGATTGAGATTGTAGGTCTCATTCTGAACAAATAAAAGTTTATTTTATTTCTTTTGGATTTTCTTATTTTCAACTCTAGTAACTTTTTGTTCAGACAGAGTGCTATTGAAGAAGAGGTGAAGATTTTGAGAAAATCTGTGGCTAACCTTCAAAACAAGCTACGGATGGTAACTATCTAGTTTCTGGTCCTGCCAATCTTTAATAGTATAGCAAACTGGGTTTATATTGGCTACTTATTGACTAAGATATATTTTTCCTGTCATTTTGGCATATAGGGGTTGGAAATTGAAGATCACTTAAAGAAGAGAGTTCGTGAATTGGAAAAGAAGAGTGTGAGAACTCATTGTCTTCACGAATTTATATACCATGTCAAGCCTCTTTTGCTTAGTCTAATTTTGTTGACCTAAATGCAGCTTCTGTCAGAAGAAATGATCAATAAGAGGGTATCAGAATTACTTAAATACCATTCTCAGTACGGAATTCACATTAAAAAATTACTTGATGAAGGATATTCCAATCTCAAGTCAACTATTGATGTGATAGAAGAAAAGATAAGGCAGCTTGATGTGGCCAGAGAACAAAAGTTGGAATCTCCTCGGAAGGATGTGAAGCTAGACGAAAGTGAATGTCGAGATGTACATGTAAATACTGATACTGGCTCTGATTTGATCAATCAGGTTTGTCCATTTCCTGCTTGTGCTGAACATTTGCATTCATACATATCTGTATGTGTGCATGTGTGTTGCCCCACTCCATAGTAGATGTACTTGGTGATGTCTTTTATTTAAACTATGCATTTTCCTTATTAGTGGATTCTTTGGGGTTTTTATTTATTTATTTTTAAGTACCAGGGATTACATAAAAGAGAGTTTTTTTATTTTTTATTTATTTTTTAATACCTTCTCATACTTCTTGCCCTCGGAGTTTCCTTTGAATTTTTCCTTCTGTACTGCAATCAAATGCTGTAGTGCTATTTTTTTCTGCCTCCCCCTTCTTCTTACTTAGGAGTGGTAGGGTTCAAGGTGACATCTGTTATTTCCTTAAAAGTAGATTGTTGTTACAATATGTAAATCTTCCATTCATGCTGCCTCTTAGTGCTGGTGTATTTTCAAATTTCAAAAACCAATCTCAGCCAACCGCCTCTTGATGATTGTGTGTGGTTCATTGACAAGACATTGTAGGTGTCAAATATGATTTAGTCCACAGGGAAAAGCCACATCTTCAATAATGGCCCACATAGCAAAAGTCAAAAGGTCAACGGGCAAGTTACATAGCACATTCCACGTCATCAATAAACCTTGAAGAAAAGATCGAAGACTTGATGACCTGAGTTGGTAGCAAGACTCAATAATATTCGGGATCTGAGGAGGTACTCGGTTTGGTGGCTGAAGTGCAGGGTCCATCGAGAAGGCAAACTACTCTCTTGTAGTGGTTCAACCGACCCTTGACCGGACTTGTAGAGGGAGAAAGACCATTTTGACTCCCTTAAAACTTATTCCCATCTTAGCAAACCTTGCTTTCTAATTTATTGATAATTTTCCCTTTTTAATTATTATAATAGAACATGTGTTGTCCTAGCATGACATCACCCATTTTCTCACTTGCCTATAAAGAGAGATACTCCAAGGCCAAGGATGGGGAAGAAATCAGAAAGAGGAAAATGAGAGGAAGCACCTGCATTCTAAACTTTTTCTGTATCTCTCGGTTCACCCTCTGAACCTTCACTTCACACTTTCTACATTTGATTGTCCATGTAGTTCAATGATGAAGCTAATTGCGATGGGCAAGACATTGAGTTGAATGTGGACCATAGCCAATTCTCCATTGTTCTTAACATTTGCATTTTTTCAATTTTAGTATCAATTTAATTTCTTATATGTTGCAGAGAAATGATCCCGGATTACCAAACATTTTGGCTATTGGTTCTAGCGATGTTTCTGAAGCCCTTGCTCAGGCATTGCAAGAGAAGGTATTGTATATACTCTCATGTTTAACCAATTTGCTTTTTGTGTGTACACGGTTTCTGTTCTTTCTTTTTCCTGGATCCCTATTCTTCTTGTTTTGAGTTTGTTATGTTTCCTACTTATGTGCTTCAATCCTTTGTTTTGTTGCTTCTATTTATTGTTTTCAGGTTTCAACTTTGTTGCTTCTATCGCAGCAGGAAGAAAGGCATTTACTAGATAGAAATGTCAGTGCAGCTCTTCAGAAAAAACTGGAGGAGCTTCAGAGAAATTTACTACAAGTAATTTTTTAAGTGTCCTTTTCTTCTTTTTCTTTTTCTTTTGTCGGTTCTCTTCAGCATTGAGTTTTTGTAGATGTTATGTCTCAGTTGCTTAATATGTGCTTCACCTGTTACTTTCTAGAAATGATCAGTAGAAAAGTTTTCTGTGCACAGGATGTGGGATTGGAGACTAAAAATCATACTTACATTGGAATTTTTTTTTTGTAGACAGGAAATGAGCAAGGAGACTTTTAGTTATATGGCCACACTACCTAGAAATTGGGTTATGAAGTTATAACTTTCGGTGTTCAAATAGATTTGGCTGTAGCATCAAAAAAACACTTATTTTCAATAATGTTCACTTATATTGAAGCATCTTCTAATCATGGGCCACCATCACCACCGTAAGGCCGCCAATTTCTACTCCAGTAATCAGGAAAAAAGAAAATTATAGATTCTCTATAGATACGCTACTTTCTTTTCAACTTCAGAAGACCTTATAGATATCAATAGGTCAATCAATGGCATGGCCTCTTTAACAGTATTAGGACCAAGATTGAACAACTAAAAATTAGGAGTTGAGTTCTAACAGAGTCAACTAGAAATCTCATCAGAATTTCCTTTTATATATATTTTTAATTAATTGACAAGCAAGGAGTTACTGTAAATGTTCCCTAAGAGTGGCCCTGATTATATGGAGACAGAGTTCGTATTGGAAATTTTTTTGTTTTCTAAACTCTTGTAACGAGAATGCTTCTTCTTATATGTTCAATTGCTGTACTTATGTGACTGTGAGTATAGTCTTATAGAGTGGATGTATGCCATTTGTGTCAGAGAGGAGGTGGAGGACTTGATTAGGGGCAGGGTATCAAAGAACAGGATGTTTAGTCTTTAGATCATTGTACAAGGCTTACACGGCACTTGTGGCTCAGCTTTCCCTTCAAAAGGAAATTGGTGCCTATAGGTTCCTCAGAGATGGACTTTTTGTTTATATAGCAGCTTTGGAAGCCAGTCTGAGTGTTATTGTCATGAGACAGTTAAGCTTCCTTTTGCTGCTCCCCATGGACAGGGAGCTACAGTGCCTCTTATTGTCCTTTTTTGGAGTTAACTTGATTATGGCAGTATTGTAGATGATTGTGAAGTCCGCTCTCCTATTACAACTAGCGTTCCAATTGGTGTAAGGCAATGCTATAGAAGTAATAATAAAGCCTCATAAGATTGAATTTTCAATGGTGTTAGGTCAAGAACTCGTAGTTTTAAGGCTTTAGTATGGAAAAAAAAATTAGAAGGTTTTATGGGTGGCAGGTTGGAGAAATTCAGGAAAACACTGGAGAATTCTAGGAGCAATTAGCTCGTGTTTTAGGTGTTAGATTGATGGCCAAAAGACTACATGAATGGTTCAGGTTGCTTAGGGTTTGGTTGGATAGAATTTGGAAAATATAAATGGTGGGTTGGGGCTATTTTTTCAATGGAGTGTTTTAAAGGAAGGTGATTAGGCTTTCCCAAATAGCTACGTTAAGATAGAATTTGGTTGTAGTGGTTTAAGGCTTAATAATAATAAGAAGAAGATACTTAAAAATCACTCCTAAAATCCCGTTAGGATTGCACTGCACATTCTGGTAAAGGCTTCAAAAGCTTGTGAAATTTCCCTAAACTTATCTGTACTGAATTTAAACGAATACATATTTACATATGAAGTGCTGGACATCAATGACTCAAGTATCATTCAAGAAATGGAAACTTTGACGAATTCATCTAAACCAACTATAAACCATATAATATGACTCACTAGCATAGCATATTTTATGATCCATGTGGCCTGCACCATCCCATGTACAGCCAGCCTGAAAATCACCAAAATATGTGACCCCAAAAAGTTAATATAACATAAATGGTATTAAGCAACAACAAACTAATCTTAAAAAAAATATTAGGAAAATACAGTCCTTTTTTTTTTTTTCCTGGGAGTGCAAGACTAGCTATAAAATCTATTGTGAAAATTTTAGCTCTATGGTATCTCCTCTACTTTCCAAAATGGAAGGTTGAGGTTTCAAGTCCCCAGAAGGTGCTTGGATTATTTGGAGTCCATTGGGCTATGCCTTGTTCCTCTAGAGGGTTGATTGAGGCTTGGAGAGGCGTCTCTGTTGGGGCTATCATTCAGGATGCTTGGAGGGCTACGCCTCTTTGTATTTGGTGGTGTATTTGGCTCGAGAGAAATAGGAAAAAAGAAGCTTGTTTCTATGCTTAAGTTCTCTATTATTTCTACTCTTTTTTGTTGGGTTTCTGGGAGAGATTATAGATCTACGGAGGAGATTATTGTTTTTTTGGCCTCTTTGAAGGTCTAAGGCACCCTTTGGCCTTTTGTTTCTTTGGGTTCCGCTCCCCTTTTGAGCGTTTTTAATAAAATCTTACTTATCAAAAAAAAAAAAAAGTCCCCAAAAGGTGCAATTGAGAGTGCGTGTGTATCTTACTTACCAAAAAAGAAAAAACAGAGTGTTGGCGCCATTAAGCAAGCCAATTCCAGGGCAACTTCTGGATGAACTAACACCTCCAAAAGAATGTTCCTAGTTTCGTGAGTGGTGGATCTCAAGGAAATTGCTGTAGTGGCAACAACAATATTGACACTACGTGTACCTCTCCACTACAGAGTTGCATCCATACATGATTCAGGATGCAACAATAATACTTAATACTTAGATATGTCTCATATTGAGTAGGCTACCACTGCACCCCCAATGCCATTTGTTCCTGTTTCTGGCCTCAATTTTGAGTCATTTTTTATTATGCATGGTTGATAGTGGCAGCTGATGCTAAATTGTACTTTATTAGCTGGAGAGGAACCAAAGATGATTTGAGAGTTAGAACTTGTTATTTTATAGACTAAGATGGATTTTTTAGCTTCTTGCATGGTGAGTGGATAGCTGAACCTCCTCTTGGCTCCCTTTTTTGGGATTTTGTGGCTAGATTTGATGGATTGGTTGAGCCCTTGCATGCTGTTCGATAATTAGTTGTCCCAAAAGCTTAAGCAGTTAAGGAACGATTCAAAAGATGAATATGGCATTGTATGCGACTGCCTTGTGAATATGGAGAGAAAAACAACCAAATAAAAAGGGGTGACAGAGAGGCTTCAATGCATGATCTCCTAGATCCAAGGCTATTATACCATCTTAGAACACCATTTTTCCAAAAGCTTAAACTGTGAAGGAATGGGCCTAACAATGTAAATAAAGCGCACACAAATGCATTGTGGGTACTAGAATTGCATAACTTGCATCCCTATTTTTTGACATCTTTTATTGAATTTTACTTGTCAAAAGAAAAATGGAAAAATGTTCAAGCAGGTTCATATCATAATCACAAATTAATCATCAAACAATGTATAAATATTCCCTCATCATATACCGTTGACCAATAATCTATAAGCATTTCCTCAGCATATTCTTTTGAGCATTAATCCACATAAATTCCTTCAATACTTATTTAACAGCTAAATTTTATGCCTTTTGTGTGTATTTGTGATGCTGGATGTAACCCCTTGCAATTAATTCTAATAATTATGTTAGTAGGATTGGTATTTGGACTGAACAAATACTCTGTTGGTTTAGGTGACAAATGAAAAGGTTAAAGCTCTTATGGAGTTGGCACAAATGAAGCAGGAATATCAACTGCTGCAAGGGTATGGTTTCTTCTTTGTTTTAGAATATAGATATTTATTGTCTATGTTTCATTATCAATTATGTTGTTCTGAATAACCTTTTTTTAAAAAGTATTTTGAATATGCATTTATCCACTACTAATTTAGTGACTCTAATGCTCCCTTACACTCATTAATCAGTGCATACATGATTCCTGTTTTCTTGCTCTCATTCAAAATTTTGAACAGCTAAATAGCCATTAACCTTGCCTTTCTGAGGTGTAACAGTGACTTTTTCTCTAAGTGGGTGCAGAGTGAATGTTCTTTTGTCTCCCTGTTGACATTCTCCTTTTTCTACAAGTGAACATCACACTGTTGTGCTGCTATCTACTCTTCTAGTGCTTCCATCAGCATTATTCATGCCTCGTATTTGTCTTCACCAACACCCAACACCCACCCACGCCCCCCCCCACCCCTCGGGAAAAAAAAAAAAGCAACATCATTTATTCCATTTGTTTGGCTAGCTGCGGCAGCCCCTTCGTGAGTTCTTTGACCTATTTGCTGATTTCCTGCATTGCAAACAACACTGGCATCTCTCTGGATGCGCATTAACACCAACCAGAGAGTGGATTCCTGCACCATATTGTCATACTATTTTCTTTTTTCCTGATTAAGTCATATTGTCAAGGATCTTCTGGGTTGAACAAATGAAGAATCCCTAGGGGCTCAAGTGGGTAAGAACTTGGCCCTGCAGCCTCATGAAGCATCAGGTCTAAGGTTTCGAATCCTCTTGGGTGCAAACAATTCCTTGATGAGGGGTGTGTGAGTAAACAACTAGGGAAAAAAAAAGAATCCCTATCTCATCTCTAATGGACCATAACAATCTGAGAGTAATGAGATTTCATATGTTTGCACTCTTGTTGGAACTTAACTTAAGACAGAGAACATTGAACTTGGAAGTGTTTTCTTCAACCATCGTACCCCTTTCCTTCAACAATTGAAATCCCTCATTGTATAATAAACGGGATCTCAGCTTACATATGCTCTCAGGTGCTGATCATTTACTCTTCTGCTCTTCAACTATGTTCCAACATTAAAATGCAATGCTTTTTAAATTAAGATTAAACGACTCTAATCTTGTCTCCATCTTTTATCAAGCGCTTGAACTAATCCCCACTCCAATCTGCTACCACGTCAGAGCTCTTCTCTAGGTGCTTTTCCATAGGAGTTGGAGTCTTCTTTGAGACTGAACTCTTATTCATTCTCAAGATCACCTTCCAAATTGCCCAAAGGGTTGTGAATACCCTCAGGTTCCTCCGTTTGGGACACTGAACGTTCTTTGCTTGGAGAACTTGAACAATATGTTTCAATTCGTCAACCATATGTCTCAATTCCATCATCGCTATAAAACTATAACTTAAGATTGTTTCCCTCTTCCTCCACGTTTTTGTCCACTAGCAACGTATCAATAAATCTAAATTTGGTGCTGAAAATACAAAAATTGCAGATGATAAGAGGTTGCTCGTAAAGTTATTTTCAGCAAATATTTACAGTCAAAGCAGCTGGTGTTGCCCTAATGAAATAAAAGATCACTGTTAGCCCAACAATTTCAGATGATTAATAACCTTTTGAAAGACAGATGACCCACAATAATTCGAAATGGAAAGCGGAAATTCAATACGATATATAATAAAAACTAAAACAAAAAAAAAAAAAAAAAAAACAAAAAAATGAGAAGATGTTTGATTACTGATGGGCCGTGTAAGCTTCTCAAGCATCTTGGATGCTTGAGAGTCTCCTGCGTCATTGTAACACCTGCAGTTGGATATAGACCAATAGATTTGTCAACCAAAGGCAAGAAGTATTCTTTGTTCAGTAGAAATTCCATTAGTTTTCTTTCATCTGCATCACTGTTGAATGGATAATTGGATATGAACATTCATCTGCTTATGTGTGGTTACTCTCTCACTTGATTCCCCTAGGGTAAAAAAGAAGATGGATGGATGGATTCTTTAGCTGTGTGTTGTGTATCAAGATCTCATCTGAGGATTATATGACTCTTGACGCTTACGCATCACCCTCGCCAAACACTACCTAAGTTGGCATCACATAGCATATGTGTGTGTGTGTGTTTATATTTTTATTTTTTTAATGTATTTCATTTTTATTCTCTTTATTTTTTCCTTTAGATTTTATGGTCAAAGAACTCCCCCCTCCTCTCTCTTTGCATTGCTCTTTGTACCATGAATTCGTTTATTGTTCCTTGGCTGTTCCCTACATGTGCTTAGGAGTGATCCTTTACAATTTTTGGTTCCTTCTGGAAAAGTTCCTTTCTCGTTTGCCAGATTTTATTAAAATGGCTTATTTAATGTGATTGGAACTATAATTTCACACATTTATGCAGGAAAATCAGTCACGAGACGAAACAAGGAAAACTTTCAACTGCTATTGGGGAAAAAAGTATTGTTCAGGGAAGAGATGGAAGGTTAAAAAATTTGCTGAAGAAAACATATCTTAGACGCTGGGTGGGTACACTAGATCTTAATGGAGGTGAAGCTGAAGCTCACCTGAATTCTGAAGGCCTTGCCACAAACAGAATGTCTAATTATAGCATCGATTTTGCTAGGTTTGGAAATATTTGTGATGCTTTCTTAATACTGCACTTTTGCATGACTGTATACTAGCTGATTTAATAGATGAAAAATAATATCCCGCAATATTGTCCTTTGACCTGTCAGAATGAATTTATCCATAGAAAATGTGCTCATTTTTCCTTGTTCTTTGTGTGTGTGTGTGTAATTTTGCAGGATGAAGGTTGAAAATGCAACCCTTAAGGAGAGCTTGGAAAGTATGGATCATCTGACATCTTCAGTTCGAAGACTTCGTCTCTCACTCATGAAGGTAATCATTCTGCACCATCATTCACAGAGAGTGTTTAATTTCTTAAAATGGGATACACAGTCTTTTTTCCTCATGATGTCAATGTAGGCAGTAGATCATATCAACTAAAATATATGGATTTGAATGGATCCGATAGAATCATAGAAGTCTCTTACTAGAAGTTCCTTTGAGTTCTAATGGACTTTCAATTGTAGTGGGCTTTTGGTTGCTTTGCATGACTTTCTGTTTTCTGATTTACAAGGTTCTCATATCACATGTTTGATAATCTCCTTCTGATTGTTTGCTTGAAATTCATTGGACTCACGTTTCTGCTATTATCCGTTTTGTTAGGTCAAAGAGTTGATTACATCTGAAGGTACCATTACCAGCATGTCAGACACTCTGGACAATATTGTTACCGAGGCAAACCTTGTGAAGACTGCCCTTGGCAGCTCCCTTCCTGTCAGTTGGTCAGCTGAGGTAGGTGTCAGATCATTTGGTGAAAGTTTTGGGGACGAGTCGGTTGATCCTAGTGAGGACTCGGGTAGTGAGAAGGTGGATTTTGTTTCTGCTGCCGGGTTTGAGATGGTGGAGACCCTGATACTTGCAGCTCAGGTACTGAAGGATCATACTACTAGAGGTTATAGAGATGAAAGTTGATAGTGAGCTTGCTTTGGTCATGCTTCCTGTAATGATTATGATAAAGCTGTAAATATTATATATAGCCTGTGATGGTTAAACCATGATTATTCTTTTCTTTTTTCTAATTTTCTTTCCTCAGATTATATATTTGCCTTGTAAAAAGGGAATGGGGGTGATAAAATTGAACATTTGTGTACTATGTCATTGTTTATAATATTGTTCAAATTTCAATCCAATGCTGTAGTGAATGTTCGAAAAATAACACCTTATAGAATGTGTGGAACTTGATCTAGCATTAGCACTCCCTGAAAGGAGGTGATCCAGGACGGCTACCTTGTTACGACTTAACTCTAGTTACTTGTCTTGCCTTCGGCAGCCCCCTTGCGGTTAAGCTTCAGGCATGGCCAGTTCCCTAGTGTGACGGGCCGTGTGTACAAGGCCCGGGAATGAATTTACCGCGGTTTGGCTGACAGGCAAATTGAGATCTTATTGAAAGAGTCCAAAAACCACAAGAAAATAGGCAAAGGCTATATACTAGGTGTTACAAGTGGAGTATTTGTCTCACGTTGGATCCGGAAGTGAATTATATACGGGCCGAGTGTGGCTCCACTTAATAACTTAAGTTTTTAGATTGGATCATGAATAAGGGGGTGCACACGGTTCAGTTTGGATCAATTTGAGAGTATTTTAGAACCAAATCATTCCTAAACGGTTTCAGAAAATCTATAACCAAACCAGACCATTTGATCAAAGAAACCGAAACAAACTAAATTGCAAAACACCGGCTCGGTTTCACGGTTTTTTTTTTTTTTTTTTTTTTTTTTTTTTTTTTTTTTTTTTACTGTTAAAGAAATATTTATATTTTAAAATTCAAATGCACAAAAATAAACCAAGTTAACCAATACATTCGGAATTGCTAATACATTTACTTCTAGAATATAAGTTAATAAATTCAAAATTGCTAATATATTCGGAACTTTTAATTCATTCTTTTCTGTTACTTCTGAAACTCATTCTTTTGTCACTTCTGAAACTGAAGTGAATTAGTGAACACCTTCAGAATTGATAATAGTCTAATATATTTAGAATTACTAATTCAACAACAAACACCACAAAAGAAAATACGAAGCTCATTGTTTCAGTTGAAACTGGGTCGCAACCCGACTCGGGTCTAAACAAAGGAACGGTCCTGAATTCGAGTTATTATATTGCGCATCTTCCTCATACAAAGATAATCGCGGATCTAGAATCATCCATATAATATACAAAACAAAACTCTATTCTAAAATTCGCTTGTAATCCTATATATAAGTATGTTTAGGGTTGGGGTGAGAAACGAGAGAACACTGAAGAGAGAGAGAGAGAGTTAGGATTTGGGAGCTGAAACTTTTAATCTCTTAATTTTTTGCATAGTAAAATCTTTCGCGGGATCTTCGTGGACGCAATATTTCCAAAATGTAAATCTTTGAATTCTTTGTGTGTGATGGCGTTTACTTTTTTGTTATGATTCTTGATTGTATGCTTACTTCGTAGACAAACTCGTAACACCCTCTTTACTAATTGTGTTAATTATGTGTAGGTATTTAAACTAATTGTTCAGATTAGTTTCAAATTTAACTAATGAGCGTGAACTAAAAAGTGAAAATGTAGGCAACAGAAGTCTGAAATAAGTTCCTTTATATATATACATACATATATATATGGGTATATGCACACACATTCCCCCCTAAACATGGAATTAGTGACAAGTGAGGTATGGTGAAAAATTGACAATTCCAGGCAACATAATGATCACCATATAATTATGAAAATGGTGGAACAAGTCATACCACACAAGTCATCCAGTATTTCACAAACTTACACAACAACCCAGTGACAAATCAGGGGCACACATTATGGCTACAATCATCAATAAATCCATAATGCAGTAAAAATACTCTTAAATAACATGGATGATGAGAGAGAAAGAAGGAGACTCTTAAATAACATGGATGATGAGAGAGAGAGACTGAGAAATTTGTTCCAGCAGATCACGATTCAGCTGCAATTACCGGAGCAGGTGCGGGCTCTTTATCATTCTCGAGCTGGCTGTAATTGCCTTTCTCTTTGAAGAGTTGGATGTGGTGGTGCTTGCAGTAGAGTTTTCCCTCATGTGCAATGTAGTTGGATGGGCTTATAGTACAACCACCATGGGTACATTTGAAACAGCTCCTATGATATGCAGTTCCATTGACAGTAACCTTTAAGAAAAAATCAAAACATTACTTCAAATAATGTTGTTAGATAAAGTACTCGCACCATTTCACAAATTGCCTACCAAGGGGTTCGAACCTTTTGTAGATAGGTAAGTACTCATATACACATTTCACAAATTGCCTATTAAGGGGGTTCGAACCCTTTGTGGGTAGGTAAGTACTAATACACACATTTCACAAATTGCCTGCTAAGGGGGTTCGAACCCTTTGTGGGTACTCATACACAACATTTCACAAATTGCTTGCTAAGGGGTTCGAACCCTTTGCGGGTACGTAAGTGCTCATACACACATTTCACAAATTGCTTGCTAAGGGGTTCGAACCCTTTGCGGGTAGGTAAGTACTCATACACATATTTCACAAATTGCCCATTATAGAGATCGAACCCCTTACCTCCCCTTTGAGGGAGGAGAGTTTATACCATTGGACTAACTGTTCATTATCAATCCAAATGGGACAGAGTTCCATGTTATGCCATACAAATTGGGAAACATGTTACTAAACCAAGGTTCTGAACTCCAATACAAATGTTGATCTTTGTTTTGGCTCATATAAGAAAGAAGTGTTTTACATAACTACATTCAACTTTGTTGAGAAGCTAACAATTTCTGCTGTATGAATAATTGAGAGCTAAGAAAAGGTTTTTAATCAAAGTTAGCTTTATCATTTATAATACTTATGTTGCAAATTTTTTTTTTTATAATACTTATGCTTCGTGCGGTAGGAAGGAAGAAAATTTGATGGAAGGGAGAGACGAAGGGATGGATGAGACATCCATAGGCAAGAGATTGTGTCATTCCCTCTTTTTATTCGGTTGGATAGAAGAGAAGAGAAGAAGCTGGCAACTTACTTTGTTCATTAGGAGGAAAGGGAAGAGAGAGCTTCAATTTGTTTTTACTATTATACCCATCAATATCTATAGTTATAATATTTATGAATGATAATATTGTAATTTAGAACTTTTATAATAGCCTCATTTGTATTCCCTCTGCTTTTCCGTCTATATTTAGAGGGATGAAAATTTGTAAAGGAGGAAGAATGACTCATCCATTCTATTATCATTTCTCTTCTTATCTCCTCTCTACCGAACGAATGAAATTTGTTCCTTCCTATCTTCCCGGGCCTCTACCCCTCTTCCTTCTTACCGAACGAAGCATAAAGATGAATAATTATAATTCCATGATTCGGTACTGCATTTTCGTGGACCTTAAATGTTAAACATAGTTAGGAATATGATCGAGCATTCAAAATCATGTTACTTACCCTCTCGATTGGATAAACGGTCTTGCTACACCCCACGCATTTCTCCCTGGTGCCGCCAAACATGTTGGAGACTTTGCTGGCAGTAGCACTCTATTAAATTCATTCCATGTTATGTTGTTAGCAGCTGATAGCACTATAGACTTGCCTCAAAGCCAACACTGATTACAAAGTTTCTAAGGACAACTATTTGAACTATATAGATGAATTTTCCAAGAATGTGTTTATACCATCTCAGAGAAACTAACAGAGCATAGATTACCTCACTATCGGACAGTTTTTCTGTTTTCGTGATTTTTGGTGTTCCTGAAAAAGTGTGGGCGAAGAAGGAAATCAATTTGTAGTACTAATTATTGTAAATATTAATCAATCGAATTTAATTGACATTATTGTTAAGTTTTACCTTCAAAACTCTTGTCCAGGCTCCCAGTTCTCTTGAAGAGTTGATCAAAGTGAGGCCTGCAGTAAAGAACCCCCTCAAAAGAGTTGAAGTTGCTGAGCTGCATGTGTAAAACACAGTAAATGAGAGCTTGAATTTGAATATATATATATATATATATATCTGAACCTCTAAAAGTGGGAGGTGAGAGTTCAAGGTCCCATAGGAGCAAATGTGTGACTTTCTTGCCAATGAAAAAAATAAAAACACACACACACAATGGAGTGGTGCTGAGCTTCCTAAATAAGAAAGACTTGGTTGACAGTACATATAACACAAGCCTTATTATATAAACACACACACATCTAGATTAAGCTACGTTCGGGAATCTTGGATATAACCACCTTTTTGATCCAGAAAATTTGACATTATACACGTGGTCACAAGCAAAGCATAGAATAATATTTTTCATTTAGGACAAAAATATTTTTTATCTATTTTTATTTTTTTGTTAGGAAGACAAAAACATAATTTTTATGACAAAGTAGTGAAATATTAATTAGCACATATGATACAACAATCATTACATTATTCACACAACTTCATCTTCTTTATTATGTCAAACTAACTCTTAATATAAAATTTAAAAATTAATTATAGCTCTATAATAGTCTTACTAGATTTATATAGACAAAAAATTATATTTATAAATAACCATATCCATGTTTTTATCTTCCTCGACTCGATGTGTCAACGGATTCATGTAATATCGTTTCCGTTTTTATGCTACATAGGTTCACATGCAATATAAATTTGCACACAATAAAGAATATATAAGAACTCGATGTACTATTGTTTACCCATTCCTTAATAGTTTAATCTTTTGAGACAATTGATAATTCATTTTTTTTGTGTGCTTTGTAGCTCTAGTGGTGGGCGAGCCTCACGGCATGGTGTGAGTGCCAATGTTTGAACCACCCATCCTCACCTTCCCCTCTAACCTCTAACCCTCGTTTTAAAAATAATAATAAAATCATCGAACTCTTAATAATTTTTTTCTTTTCTTTTCTTCAGGATAAGAATATTAGATTAGAATTTAAAGGTGCTAAGGTTCGCTCCTAAGCCAAGCTCCCAAAGACCACGGAGAGCAACCAACAGTTATGAAGGCTTTTGCATCAAACTCTTAATAATGAAACCATATTGCATGTAGAATCACCATTTTCTTTGAAAATATGGAGGATTTAAGGAGCCCGGATCATAATGACATAATATACAAGTGTATATGTGTTGTGAGTCATCCGATGCAGTACAGCACCCGTGCTAAACCGTACCGGATCCCAACTCTTAACAAGATGAAGGAAATGGAAGAGTGAAAGATACATGTACCTTGAGGGTACCTTTGCAATGGTGGCATCGGAAGCAAGCCTTGTGGTAAGTCCGGTTATCGGCTGTTAACTTGTCGACCAGATATACAGTCTTATTGCAGGCTGTGCACTTCTGGGTTGTTCCTACAAAAGCCATGGCTTCCAATTCCTCCTCCTCCTCCCTGTGATCACCTAGAGCATTACAATATACCAATGCTTTTCTCTCTCTGTCTCTCTCAACCTTTTGCCTCCCACTCTCTCTCTCCTACCTCTCCATTAATAACTAGAGAGAGAGAAAGAGAGTTGTGGGTTGCAGTGATTTGCGGGTGAGAAAGTGTTAAAAAATTTGTAGATAATTGATGGGAATGGTCACTTGGCAATCATTTTGTCCGAATTTAAAGCAATTCCATCCTGCACCTTCTTTTATTGTTATTTTTTTCTATTAATATGAAAATGCAATTAGAAGAAAAACAATAGAAAATTTGTCATATATTGTTCCTAGTCAAAAAAACCTTTAATTCTAACATAATGAAAAATAAAACTAAGAAATTTAAGTGACATATAGATGCAAAAACAAAGTCGTCATTGACGAGATAACATCATGTTAATTTCATGTGAATATATATATATATCAATTGATCACTTTTCATATGAATCATTTTGTGTGCTTGAATAACATTAATAAAATAATTGGTTAGGGTCCGTTTGGTGGCACGCGTTTTGTTTTAGACGTTTTGTTTTTGACTAAAACAGAAAAAGTGTTTTTGTCGTAAGACTGTTTTGAAAAAAAAACAAAAGCACGTTTAAGAACGATATTTTGCTGTAGAAATGTGTTGCGCTAATGTTAGGTTTTGGGTCATGAACAGTTGTTAAAAT